CACACACACACACACACACTCACTCACTCACTCTCTCTCTCTCTCTCTCTTTTATTTCATTATGGAAGGTGCACAGACCCCTTTCCCCACTGCCAGGGGTAGACCTACAGATCTTGGTTTAAAGCCGTGTTTCAGCTATGTATGGTGGTACACATCTATAATCCCAACACTTGGGTAGTTGAGACAGGAGGATCACAAGTTCAAAGCCAAGACTGGAAGTGTGGTCAAGTAGTAGAGTACCTGCTTTGCAAGTGCAAAGCCCTGAGTTCAAACCCCAGTCCTACCAAGAAAAAACAAAACAAACAAACAAAAAAACTGCTACAAGTTCAAAGCCAGCCTGAGCGACATTGCAAAACTCTTATCTCAAAAAAACCAAAACAAAGGCCAAAGGAGGGAGTCAAATGGTTAAGAGTGCCTGCTCAGTAAGTGCAAACCCCTAAGTTCAAACCACAGCACCATCTAAGAACAAAAACAACAAAATCCCTGTCCTGGTGTTTGCTGCACAATCATACTTTGATTTCCCTCAAGGAGCCAAGTTTAACTAAGCACATAATATAGTCTGCCCATCTCTTCTCAGCTTTATTCCAGACTAAATGGGTTCACCTCAGTATTCTTTCTCTTTGATTCCCTATTCAACCTCTTCTCAGTCAGATCATCTTTCCAATACCTTCCACTCTCAACTCTAGAGCAGGGTAGAGAATGTTTCTTGATCCCCACAATTGGTTCATCTGGGGAAAGGGTTCAGACTCACCATGGCTGATGGGTTTGTCTGTCTCTCCCGTTCTCGCCTAATCTCACTCTCGATGGATTCACGAATAGCCAGTTTACAAGCACGTTGGCAAATCTCTGTCAGGTCAGCTCCAGAGAAGCCATTAGTCATCTTAGCCAGGAACTCCAAATCCACATCCTGAAAGAAGCCACAGATTTACCTTAGCCTTTAGCCTTTCCTCCTCTGGAAAACAATGATGTTTGGGCTACCCAAGCTCTCCCAACTCCAATTTGCCTCGTCTTCTGATACTCCCTATTACTGCTGATCCCAGATTATCCTAATATCCCCAATTTTCCACCTTCCCTTTAGTCCAGTCCCCAAAATGCTCAATGGGATCTTGTCCAGAAACCAAAGAGCATTCCACACCAGCTTTATAGAAAAGTCCCTGTGGCCTATGACCCTGCACCTGCCTTAGCAACTGGGGACTTGCGTAGATTGGCCTTAAGGATGGCAACCCGAGATTTCTCATCTGGAAGTGGGATATAGATGAGCTGATCAAGGCGGCCAGGTCTTAGGATGGCAGGATCGATGATGTCAGGCCGGTTGGTAGCGCCAATGATAAACACATTCTTTTTTGTGGACATGCCGTCCATTTCTGTCAAGATCTGGTTGATGACTCGGTCAGCAGCCCCACCACCATCTCCAATATTACCACCACGAGCCTTTGCAATCGAATCTAGCTCATCAAAAAACAGCACACAGGGAGCAGCTTGGCGTGCCTGTGGAAGACAGATTTATTTACTCAAACCCTTTCACAAATGGATCACTCAGCCCTCAAAAAGAAAATGAAGTAACCTTCAATGCCCCAGGTGAGCTGTCAGCAGTAAGATGATTTTGACTCTTCTAGAAAAATAGCCTCCATACTACACAAACATGTGAAAGTCCAGCTTTTTATAGCTCACCTTGTCAAAGATTTCCCTGACATTGGCCTCAGACTCCCCAAACCACATAGTGAGCAGCTCAGGACCCTTGATGGAGATGAAGTTGGCTTGGCATTCATTAGCAATAGCTTTAGCCAACAAAGTTTTCCCACAGCCAGGAGGTCCATAGAAAAGAACTCCCTTGGAAGGTGTCATGCCAAACTTGAGGAATTTGTCTGGGTGCTCCACAGGATACTAGGAGGAAAAGGAAAGAGGATTTAAGGCTTTCTCCATATTTTGAAATAAACCAAAACTAAGAAGCATCCCATCCTCTGCTTCTTGGTACATCCTATGGTCTAAGACCCAGGCTCTCTAGAAGCAGGCTCTTTAGAGTCTCAAGCTGGAGAATAAAAGACTTCTGAGTTGTGCTGTCACAACTGTTATAGCAAATGTGCTGACACCAAGACCACCCTGATCAATAACATACTAAAGCTGTACTCAAACTAGACCAAGTTACCCTACCTGGACCAGCTCCTGAAGCTCACGTTTGACATCCTCCAGGCCCCCAATGTCTTCCCAGGTTACTTGAGGCACCTCCACCACGGTTTCCCGCAATGCTGATGGGTTGCTCTGACTCAAAGCCCACTACAAAGGGAGAAAACAACTTAATGAGACTTACTGTGGGAGGTAGTCAGAATGTTCATGTGTACCTAAGTTGGTGATGTGGTCCTTACTCGGAAGTCATCCATAGTCACCGCCAGGGAGTTCATGACCTCAGCATCAATGGTCTCGTCCTCTAGGTCAATGAGATCCATCTTCTTGCGGATGGCCTGCAGAGCAGCCTCCGAGCACAAGGCTGCCAAGTCAGCACCTACATGCCCATGAGTTTCATTCGCTACCTGCAGAGAGAAGATCTACTGACTAAACTGTCTCTAAGACCCAGCTGCCTTAGGAAGCTCAGAGACAACAGAATTCCTGTCCATTCCCCTGACTTCTATCTCTGGATCCTCCTACGTCTTTGAACACACACAACAGAAACCACCTCCGTGGAGGGGGCCTGGAACACCAAAGCTTGGACTTTCTCCTGCAGCCACTGGGTCAGGGAACAGGGCAAAGGATGGCCACCTGGAGATGGAGACTGGTCCCTCCTACCACCCCTCACCTCTCACCCTCGTACTGGCTGAGGTTTAAGTACTCAAGCCTGAAGTTAGGAGCTTAAAATAAAGCTGCCCTAGTAATTCAGGTTTATTCTAACACAGTATCAACTGAAAAATATGACAATTTCCTGGAATCAATCTCAGATCACTTCCTTTCTCCCCTGCCCAAAACTTAAAACCAATCTCCCTCTCATTCTGTTGTTTGGTTTCATTCTCAGAGACAGGGTCTTAGTATGTAACGTAGGCTGGCCTTGAACCCAAGATACTCCTGCCTCATTGTCTCAAGTGCTGGAATTATCCTCTCATCTTAAGCTTATATCCTTAGCCAGTTCCAGTTCACTGTCTAGTTCCTAGAAAGACATATCTTAATTTCTGGTCAGCTCTCATCACGACTCTACCTGTTCCAGGTCCACATCATCTGCCAGTTTCATGTTCTTGGTATGGATCTGAAGAATTTCCAAGCGTCCTGTAGCATCAGGGATTCCAATATCTACCTCCCTGTCAAAGCGACCTGTGAGACAGTGTATGAACATAATATAGGGCTTATTTTTGATCCAGATGGAAGAAGGGGCAGGCCTAAAGTGACCAACCATTTTGCCCCAGGACTCTGCTAAATGACCTGGGAAACCCTCTCAATTTCAGACAAACCATAACGGTTAGTCATTCTACGTAGCACACAGGAGAAGGGAAAGGGAAATCCTGAACCCAACTGTTGCAAAAACCTCCAAGACAGTTACAGGATTAGTTAAATTAGATAAAGAACAGAGATGGGATTAAGGAAATTAAAACCCAGTAGGATTAAAATCTCTCTATGAGCAAGAAAAAGACTGAAGGAAATGTGGGGTCCTTACCAAATCGCCGTAGAGCTGGATCAATGCTATTGGGTCTGTTGGTTGCTGCCATAACTATTACATGTGCTCTCTGCTTTAGGCCATCCATAAGGGTCAACAATTGCGATACAATACGCCGCTCCACCTCTCCATGAGTCTGTCAGGAAAGGATTTCTGGTCAGCAGCTAAATAGGGACCTTTCAACCCTCCACCATCCCCCTGGTTTAGCTCCTACCTTCTCTCTTTTGGGAGCAATGGCATCAAGTTCATCAATAAAGATGATAGCAGGAGCATTCTTTTCAGCTTCTTCAAAGGCTTTACGAAGGTTGCTCTCAGATTCACCAGCCAACTTGCTCATGATCTCAGGACCTGAAAGGATGAAGAATAGAGATAATGACAAAACTACTTCTTTCCCATCCCAAAAGAAACTGGTTGTTTGTTCAGCCCAGAGATAAGCCATGGGAAGGAAGTGGAACCTCTGCCTCTCATAGCCTCTACCACCTGCTAGTCCACAAAAGCCACCAGGCCAGGCTAAAAGCCAACGGTCTCAATATACTTTTCTCTTAGCAGAGCTGAAACTGTGAAGATGACAGCAGATACTTTGGAACCACTGGTCAGAGTAGGAAGCAGCATACCAATTGGACCTCCACCAACAAAATATTCTCAGATTTTCCATTCCAGCTTGCTCCCCTAAATGCTTTTAGCTTGTCCACAGTCTTTCTCAAGGAAGAGAAAGGGCAGGGAGCACTACTGTATCTCCCCTTCATTGCTAATCTGACTATAAGGTATCTCAGAAGATGCTAAACTGTACACAAGGGCAAGAGTGCAAATGGGTGTGTCCATGAGCTGCCAAGCTCAGAACTGGGTCAAGCCAGACAAAAGATGAACCAAGTGTCTTACCATTGATCAGGAAGAAAAAGGCTCCAGTCTCATTTGCCACAGCTCGGGCAATCAGTGTCTTCCCTGTCCCGGGAGGTCCATAGAGCAAGATTCCCCGAGGAGGCTAAAGACCAACACAGAGTATAGTTAGGAGGGTTAGGTGTGTGGCTCAAGTGGTAGAGGAAACACAAGGCTCTGAGTTCAAACCCCAGTAACATTCCCAATCCCCTGAAAGACCAAGTGTGATTAGGTTAGGTTCAGATTCCTACCTTCTCCAAACCCCACCCATCATAAAATAGCTTCACAAGGGCTCTGGAAAGGATGAGAACCAGGGCTCAACCATGATACCATTAAGAATGAGCAAGCTCTTAGCTGGGCACCAGTGGCTCACACTACAATCCTAATTATTTGGGAGGCTGAGGTCTGGAGGATGAAGGTTCAAGGCCAGCCTGGGGAAAAAGTTCATGAGACTCTGTCTCAACCAATAGCTGGGTGCGGTGGCATGCACCTCACATTCCAGCTACTTGAGAGGCTTCAATAAGGAAGACAGAGGTTCTCAGCCAGCCTAGGCAGAAAAGTTTGTCAGACTCAACCTCAACCAAAAAAAGGTGGGCATGGTGGTGCATGCCTATCATCCCAGTAACAGCAGGCAGCTTAAAATAGGAGAATTGCTGTTCAGGCTGGCCTGGGCAAAAAGCAAGACCCTATCTCCAAAATAACCAGAACAAAAAATGCTGGATGCATGGCTCAAACAGTAGAGCACGTGCCTATCAAATGTAAAGCCCTGAGTTCAAACTACTGCCAAAACAAAGCAAAGAATGAGTCCTTGCACATGCCTGCAATCTCAGTACTCAGAGTCTGAGGCAGGAGGATCTTGAATTCAAGGCTAACCTGAATTACCTACTAATACCCTATCTCAAAAAACAGCCTTGGCAGCAAATGATAGTTTATCACGCTCACTCCTGATTCCAATAGGAAAAAATGATGCACAGGAGACTAACACGAAAACCACCTTAAGAAATTCTAAGAGGGAGGGAGTCTGATGATTCTAGACTAGGAAAAAGAAGTCATTATGCTAAGGGCTCAATTTTAGACAGCCTATGGCCCAAGGATTAGCTAATTCATTTAAGAAAGCAAGATCTATTCCCTTCATTGTTAGAGATACAGTTACTCCTATAATCATAACCTTCCAGGACTTACTATATCACATTGGAATGGCAAGTTTTCCTTTTTAAAAGCTGTCTTTTCTATAGACTCATCCACAAGCAGAACATTGAAACTGCCCATAGAAGATAAAATTATTTGTATGATGCTGACCAGGAAAAGTAGTAATTTCATCTTATGATACAGAAAAGGTCAGGAAGCTACAATCTAGATAGCGCACCAGTTCTCAAATGTTTTTAAGACTCAGGACTCTTACCACTGTGACCCCAAGATTATTTGCCCCTCTAATGTAAGCCATTATGAAAACAGTAGTAACACTAGACACTGAGTAGTCCTTAATATTATTATCACCCTAGACTCAATTCCACAGAGCCCGAAATGCTTACCTTCACACCAATGGCCTTAAAGAGCGCAGGATGTCTCAGGGGCAGCTCCACCATTTCCTTTATCTGAGCTAGCTGCTTCCTGCAGCCACCAATGTCATCATAGCCTACTTCATTCAGGGATTCTTCCTCATCCTGAATATGGAAAACAGAAAAGGCAGGAATACTACATCAGCAAAAGCTGAATTTCCCTAAATCACTATCTGGTCTGGAAAAATCTACTGCATAAGATTCTCCTTTAAAGAGATCCTGCCTCAAAAAACCACTATAAAAATCCCAAGGCATAGAATCCTAGCACAGTCCTTCCCTCTTATACAGTCCTTTGTCTTACTGGGAAGAGCTTCTTAAAACCTTAAGCTGGAAACCCTGGAATGGAAAGAGGTCTGGATGCCATCATCAGTTTTACTTCAGAAATTACCCCAAGTAGCTGGGCAAGGCAGTCCACACCAGAAACCACAACACTTGAAAGGCTAAGGCATGAAGATATGAAGTTCAAGGCCAGCCTGGGCTACACAGGAAGACCCTGTCTCAAAAACTAAAAACAAAACAGAAAGAAAAAAAAAAGGAAGAAAGAAATGAAATTACCCCAATCACTTGTATCTTTCGGGTTCAATCTAAAATTCCTGTTACTGGGTTTTTCCAAGAAACACTAGGCCCAGAAATAGGAGGTTCCCACTTCTACCCTGCTTAGTTCCAAAAAGCACCCAGTTTTATAGTTACCACATGAATGCTACACTGAGTAATAATGAAATTGGTACTACAATCAAGGAGAAACTCACCTCCCGTTTGATAGGCTCCCCTTCACAGTGGATCACTGTGTCTGGAGCAACAATGCAATAAGGGCTAGGATCTGTCTCCACTACTTTGAACTCCACAGCACGCATCCCACCCCGGACAAGGAAAATGTCTCCTATGAAAATAAACAGTAAAAGTGCAATTAGAGGTGTCAGGTATAAGACCAAGTGAAATTCCAGGCAACCCCAGGATCTGCAATGCCAAGATCATTAGGTATTGCCTAGTCTCCCCTGCCCCACTGACTTGGCAAACACCAAGCAATAGTAAAAGGCTACTCTGTATAGCATCCCTTTGCCACTCAAGAGTGCAGTAAGCAGAACCTGATGTGCTCCAACCCCATAAAGCTTCAGTATCAGGATAGAGGTAGCCCAAGCTTTTACTACAACCACCAATGATAGAGCTATGCACTTTCAACTGTGACGCAGCAAAAAAGAACTACCTTCTCCTTCAGAGATACCTGAGGAAGCTTATTCTCCTGGAGCAGGGAGGAAGGGAGTGAAGGAACACACACAAACATTTATGTGCATAGATACACATGAAAATGAGATGGAATGAGTCTCAGGTTTACTCCCAAGCATATACCTACAACCATTCTTTAAGCTCAGTTCCTAGAATCATCTCTCACCTTTTCGGATGGGTCGATAAGCTTCCAGGAAGTATGGCTTAAGGTATACCTCAAAGAGATTGCCAGTGATGCCTTCTACCGTGTCATCGATGGGTAGCACATGGATACGTTTGCCGTACTTCACATCAGGGCACGGCTGGATGCTGAGGATGACAAGCAGACTCCACATTACCAACCACACTGCAGTCCTAAGCACTGGGTGTCCGAAAGGGCCTGGCACAGACAGCTGATGGCAAGCGAAAGAGAAAAGGCAGGGATGGCTTTAGGTGAAGAGAGGAAGGAGAAGAGGGTGGGAGTGAAGGCAAAGAAACAGCCACACAGAACTAAGACAGGTCACACTCAAGATGAGGTAACAGAATAAGCCACTAAAAGAGGCTGCTAGGGCAGCCCACTCCTCATCAGTGATGAGATTAAGAATACTTGGAAGCCCCACAAAGAAGACATACACAGCTCTACCACTGGGATCTTCAATGAGCTATGGCCAAGAATTATCCTTCTGGCTAAAATTGGTAACCCAATAGTACCCCTTGTAAGGGGAGGTCTTAGTCCAACTGTGTCAGGGTTGGAGAAATAAAAATGGAAAAAGAATCTCAGCCACATGGTCAGAACACATTGAGAAACTGACTAAGTATCCCTAGGAAAAAAGTGTATGAAACTGAAGATTCCACGAAAAAAGAATTAGAAGCCAGGCCAGATGACTGGTTATTGGAAGTCTCTTGCCCATAGCAAAAATCACTCACATTGGAGCAATCCTGGGTCTGGCTCCAACTGTGCTTCTCTTCTAGGTTAACTTAGACCCTTAAAAGAACTGCTATAAGTCCATTTTTCTTTCTGGCGATACTGAGATTTGAACTCAAGGTTTCATTCTTGTTAGGCAAGTGCTGTACTGCTTCAGTCACATCTCTAATCCCAGAAGCTCTCTTTTTAATAGTCATACTGCCCCTCACAAGATATTGATTAAACACAGTTTAGTGAGGGTAGTACGGAAGTTATATGGCAGACAAACACCCTCAAATGGCATCCTAAACCAGGGTATAAGTATGACCGGTTATGCCTCTGGTAGGAAAAAAATAAATGCATCAGAAAGTCAAAGAAATATCAACTTGTACCAAGGGCCATGCAGACATGGATCTAGGAAAGCAGAACCTAGTCACCTAAAGACAATCCTGAAGCATGGATCTTCCCATATTTGCAGCTGCCAAAGATTTTGTTCCAGTTGTAATGCAGAGGGATGGTGCTTCTAACACACGTTGTCTCAGTCTCCCATTCCTGAGGGGCCAAAAACCCCCCAAACGCACCTGATAACATCCCCTAGGCGTACGCGGAGGTTATTCCGAACAACTCTATTCATTCGAATCTTCTCATCAGAACATGTGTCATCGGAAAGCACAATGCACACAGCTTCCCGTCTCTTCTTTCCTTTCAGCAACACTGTGTCACCTCGGAACAACTGCAGTTCGTCCATCTTGGGCTAAAGAAAAAAGGTTAAGGCTTTTGGGTCATTGGGCAGAAGGGAGTAAGCAACGGCCCTGGAGGTTGGAATTCTCAGTAAATCCCACTCTATCTGCAATCACTGCAAGAAAAGAAACCTGAGGAAATCCCTCAAGTAAGTGCAAAAAGGAAAAACAAGACTCTGGACCCAACTTACCTGGGACAGGGACACCACACTGTTGTCCTCATTGATGGCTTCATCAACAATTAACCGATTGGGACGGTTCTTCTGTTTGAGAATGGCTGTTGATAAGTCATCACCTTTTGAACTATAAGAAGGAAATCAAGTTAGGTCCAATAGATTCTCTGGCTGCAGGGGCCCCACCAGTCCCTAAAACTCATACTTAGGAAAGAAAGAATGGGTAGATGAAGCTACTCCTACACCAAAGCGCTCAGATGAAAGAAATCTAGCTAAGGTCACTCAGAGTAACATCCAGCATATGTCACATTCCCTGTTCTAGTAGCTCTTAGTAAAGTATTCTTGTCCCGGCTGCCAGACCCCAAGTAACCCTGTACCAAAGTCAGGAAACTATGGCCTAAGAATAATAAAAAACCAAGAAATGAATTTAGTCTTAATTTATAGAACAGCTCTGCAGACAGACCTATTAGTTCTGAATCCCAACCATGTCAATGCTTAATTGTGATCTTGGGCAAGTCAGTTAACCTCTCTGGACTCTGATGTCCTCACCTGTAAAATGCAGACTATAACAGTACCTATCTCAAAAGTTTATAAATAGTACCAATCTCAAAGATTTATTGTTTTAAGTGAAAAAAGAATGAATGTAAATACTCAACACAATGCCTTTCACATGAAACTAATGTTCATTATAATTAGCATTTCAGAGGAAAGACCAAGCTTTCTTACAGCTAACCTCCTAAGGGAAATAAAGTAAACCAGACCACTTCCCTTTGGGTTCAAGGAGACCCCCAAATTCACTGAGTAAACATAGGTACAATGAAGCAGAGTAACACTACCTTCCTCACAAGATAAACCTGTTGAATTTCAAAAGCATTCTTTAGTACAAGAAATGCAAGCATAAAACCCATCGTATTCAGAAAAAAACTAATAGATGTAGAACCTTCATAGAGGCTCAAGCTTAAAAAGAGCTCCACTTGAAATAACTTCTGCAAAAGCCCACTACTCAGCCACACCTATAATTCTAGTTGCTTGGGAGGCTGAGATTGCAAAGATCACAGTTCCAGGCCAACCTGGGCAAATAGTTCACAAGACCCCCCCACCCCCAGTCTCCAAAATAACCAAAATGGACTAGAGGTGTGGCTCAAGGGTAAAGTACCTGCTTTGCCAGCACAAAGTCAAATCTCAGTTCCACTAAAAAGAAAAAAAAGCCCACTACTCCATTAAGTTGGTTCAAAGAGTCAATGAAATATGGGGAAAATTCAAATCCTTCTTACCCAAATAAAAATTGCCTGAATTTAAACTAACCTGCCATTATTTCCTAGAAGCTAGGGTCATTTACTGGACAGTAAAACCAATTTCTTAACTAGCTCATCTCTAGCCTTTACTTATTAGACTCAGTGGGCCCTCCCTTTGAAGAGCTACTCCTTTACTAAGGTTCAGGAAAACATGGAGGCTGACACAGTGACTCAAGTGGTAGAGTTCCTAGCTAGTGGGAGGCCCTGAGTTCATTCCCCAATATCACACACACCACAGGGAGACCAAACAATGGAGAAAGTAAAGAAAAAAAATAACTGTTTCTTCAACAAATTAATTAACGAGTGTCTGCTATGCACCAGGCACTATTCTAGGAGCTGTTTAACAAAGCCAAACAAAATACAGCTGGTAAAGTAGCTCAAGTGGTAGAGGGCCTGCCCAGCAAGTATAAGGCCCTGAATTCAAACCTCAGCACAGCAAAAAAAAAAAAAAGACAAAATAGTATTACCATTGAAAATACATTCATAATTTGCAAGAGAAAAGATGCCTTTTGCTCTAGAATATCAAGCAAACTCCATTCATTTAACAACATGGTAAGTTTTCTTTCTGCTAACTCTCACTTATAGGTAAAATCTTTAACCAGCACCTTTAAAAAAAAAAATGGAGCTTGTAAGAAGCTTCATTTGTTACAATTCTTTTTCTTTTTTTTTTTTGGTGGAACTGGAGTTTGAACTCAGGGCTTCAAGCTTGCTAGACATTGCTAGGCATTCTACCACTTGACCTAATCAGCACTTTTAAACTGGTTCCTCATTTCTAACTTGCCTCCCCGCCTGGTTCCAAGTGCCCACTTGGGGCACAATGCTGCAGAGCAGGTAGACTCTTAGTTTATCAACACTCTAAAATGGTCAACAGGACAGCAGCCAAAAATATATGTAAACACATCAACTTCTCCTCCCTCCCAACCCATCAAAATATCCTGCCACAGGGGCTGCCCATCTTCCTGTATAATTTAAAGTTTTGGGTTTTTTGGTGGCACTGGGGCTTGAACTCAGGGCCTCATGCTTGCTAGGTAGGAACCCTACCACTTGAGACTCCACCAGTTCCGGTATGACTTATAGGACTAAAGCAATAGAAAAATGCCAGATACTTCAAATTATCAAGTTTGTATTTTAATCTCAAAGTTGAATTCCAGGAAAACCTCCAATCTGTCTACCACTCCTATCCCTGGCTCTAGAGATGAGTAGCATGCCCTGTGCTTAAGGTAATGACCTCAAATTCCCCATCTATCTACAGAGATCAGAAGTGACCATCTTTAAGAGTGAATTCAGCCTGACCATCAGCAACAGCAGTTCTGGATGTTCTTTGGGGACATTTCCCACTGTATTCTCCATGACTCAGGTCCTTTCCAGAACACACCAACAGACCACAGGAGACTTGGAGGTGGTGAAATTCAGGTAAGTTATCAAGACAACCTAGCAGCCAGAAACTCCTTATGATGCCTAGTTCCAAGAACTTTAGATTTTTATCTTGTTGGGACTGGGATTTGCAGGGTTTTGTATGTACTCTACCACTTGAGCTACACACCTCTAGGCTGTTTTGGTACGGTTTATTGAGGAGATGGGGGCTGGCAAACTATTTGCCCAGGCTGGCCCTGAACACAGCTCCTCTGATCTCAGTCTCCCAAGTAGACAGGATTACACGCCGTGAGCCACTAGCCCAGCATTTTTATAACAGTCTGTCTTTTGGGGCGGGGACACACACACACACACACACACACATTACTGGAGTTTGGACTCCACCCATTCTTGCTAGGTTAAGTGCTCTACCACTTGAGCCACATCCCCAGACACAGACACACACAGACACACACACACACACACACACACTCACTCTCTCTCTCTCTCTCTCTCTCTCTCTCTCTCTCTCTCTCTCTCTCTCTCTACTGGAGTTTGGACTCCACCCATTCTTGCTAGGTTAAGTGCTCTACCACTTGAGCCACATCCCCAGACACACACACACACACACACACACAAAACCCCCCCACCTTTTTTTTTGGTTTTTAGAAACAAGGTCTCACCCAGTAACCCAAGCTGCCCTGAACTGGCAATCCTCCTGCCTCAGTCCCCAAGTGCTGAGATTGGAGGTTATGAGTCACCACACCAGGTTCTCAATTTTACATTTCAGTCTTTTAAACTGTACATTACCTGCAAGAACATATTTAGTTATTAACAAGTGGTCCTTTTAACTAAGCAATTGAGGACTATTTCACCCCTACGTGATGAAACTTGAAACACCTCCAAAGAACTAATCTCTTCAAATCAGGAAGATGATTTACATAGTTTCCCGAGGGGTTTTTTGCTTGTTTCTTTTTCTTTTGCCTTTTTTTTTTTTTTTAAACATCTAAGCTCTAGTTTCTAAAATGGGCTGAGGCTGCCAAGTTTTTATCTGATGCTTTCATGAGATGGAGGTGGGCCACAAAGTCCCAAGACTCAGAGGACTTCCCAACGAAAGGGGTGTGTGAGTGTTTAAGAGTTAGGGCAACTCTAACCTGCAAGCAACGAAAGCCGAAACACAAGAAACCACGAAATACATACTGAGAATGGGCCTGCCGGAAGGACTTAAATAGTGCAGAAAAATTCCTTTCGCGCTACCCCAGGTCATATCGTAAGAAGAACTAACTGAAGCTTCCCCGTATTTACAACAGGCCTGAGGGAGGAAGGGCTAGAGCGAGAAGCAGGTCCGTCCTGCAGTCTCCACGGCCGCTCGCTACTCGGGCCAGGCCGCCCGAATCCACGAGGGCCTGCCGGGGCTTCCCCGCGCCGCCGGCCTTCCCACGGCCGGCCTCCGCCTGGGTCTCAGGGCTCCGGAGGCCTTCACGTGGCCGGCCCCAAGTCCACGCCCACCAGGCCCAATTGGGGCCTCGGCTCGCCCGGCCTGTTCTCTCCCTGGACCCAGGGTCTTCGGCATATGGTCGGCGGGTTCGCGGACGGGCGCCGAAGGACCCCGGGGCTCGGGGCCCGCAGGCCTCGCTAAGCCGGGAAGGCCGTTCCAAGGGAGTCAATCAGGCCAACCGGGGCCTGCATGACACAGCACGATCTCGTCCAAGCTCCGACCCGGACCCAACGCAAGCCGACCTAGGGGGCGCGCGGGTGCACAGCCCGGCCCTCAGCTCCTCCTTCGCCCCTTCCTCTCCTTCCCTCTCCCTCCTTCCCGGTCTCAACCTCTCAAACGCGCCCTCTAAGCCAGGCCGGGCCGGGCCTACTCAGCGCGGCGGATCCGGCGGAGCGCGTCCCCGCAGCCGGCAGGCGGGCACGCGCACATACTCACTCGGCTCCAGAGGCCATGGCGCGCGCCTCTCCCGGTCGGCGGCTGTGGCGGCCCGCGGGTAACGGCTACGAGAGTGGCAAGGCGACCGACTTAGCCGGGACTCGGCTCTCCCAAGCGTGGGACGAGCAGCAGCAACAAACTCACAGGTAGCCTCAATCTCGCTTCCTCCCAGCGGCGGCGGCGGACGGGCGGGAAGGCAGGAGACGCTGGCTCCTGATCCGCGAGGGGGCAGCGGCTACGACGACCCAAACGACGGCTGCAAACGCTTCGCTGAGACTGAGCCGAGAAGAGCCGAATCATCGGAAGGAAAGCTGCTCACACCTCAACCAATCAGCGCCTGCCCCGGGGACTCGTGCCCGCCCCTCCACACCTCTCCCCAGCAACCCGCGTACCACAGCCAATCAAAAAATTCGTTTGTGGCCTGGCTCCCGCCTCGGGGATGCAACAAGCCTAGTAACGCCACGTCAATTGGCCACAACGATATGCTTCCTCGACGGATTGGGATTCTCGACCAACCAGCAAAAGGAATAGGGGTAGATCGACCGGTGAAAGGAGAGTCTTTAATTCCTTGGAAGAAGACTCTCCCACTTGGCTCTAGTTCATTGGCTCCCAAACTTACATCCTCCTTTAAGAACCTGGATTGATCCCTTCCATTTAGTCTAGTCCTATATAGTGATAACCCATACACTCAAGTCCTCCCTAAACCGAGGAATCCTCTTAGGTCATCACCACACCAACCCTTCTTTCTCCTTTAAAACATTAGCTCAAGAGCTGGGCGTAGCTGGTGCACGCCTGTAATCCCAGCACTCAGTAGGGACGCTGAGACAGCAGGATCGCAAGTTGGATGCCAGCCGTGGCTACAAAGGAAAACCCTGTCTCAAAAACAAAACAAACAAAAAACACTACTGACTCAGCATCCAGCATGGTGGTTCATGCCTATAGTAGCAGTACTGAGGAGGCTGAGACAGGAGGATCACCAGTTCCAGGCCGGCCTGGGCTACATAGAGAGGCCCTGTCTAAAAACAAAAATAAGGACTAAAGGAAAGAAGTGAAGGGCAGAAAGAGGGAGAGAAAAAAAATTGGCCCCAGTGATCCCTACTTGGACTCTAGCTCTGGACCAGGAGCCCAGCACTTAATTCATGCTACCCTCTTCATTGCACTCTTTTCTAACAAATCCCATAGGTTTTAGTTCCTTAGGGCTTGGGGGATACATGCTACCCTTACATTAAGTAATAAATATTACCTGGAGGAGGGCTCGCTCTCAGGTCCAGAGAGGGCAAAGGACAATCACAGAATACTCAGCAAATTCAATAGAGCCTAAGGCAGCAAGAAAACTGCACGCGGAACTAGAAATCCTCGGGCCCAAAATGACAGTTGGCCTGGCTGGGGGTGTGGCTCAAGAAGTAGAACACCTGCCTTGTAAGCATGAAGCCGAGTTCAAACACCAGAGGCACCACCAAGGACTGGAGGTGTAGCTCAAGCAGTAGACTGCCTGCCTAACGAGTGCAAAGATCTGAATTCAAATCCCAGTACCGCCAAAAATGAGCCAGGCACTGGTGGCTCAAGCCTGTAATCCTAGCTACTTAGGAGGCAGAGATCAGGGGGATCGCAGTTTGGAGCCAGCCTGGGCAAATAGTTCACGAGACCCTATCTGGAAAAACCCTATCACAAAAAATTGGGCTGGTGGTGTGGCTCAAGGTGAAGGCTCTGAGTTCAAGCCCCAGTACCACTAAATAAATAAATAAATAAATAAAAAGACAGTTGGTCCTTACTGTAGTCAGTAGACAGCTCCAGGTGACATGATGACTCAACTCACCCTTCACCCCCTACCCACACAGACACATTTGACTGAGACAGGTCCAGTTTTTAGTTTGTAATTAGGGAGGATGGGAGTCACTCTTGAGAGATTCACAGGTCTGCCTGTTCCTCCTCTCTTAAGTACCAAATGTCTGCCCTTGCCTGTCTAGGCCACTCTCCAGACCGAATTGTGCTTACTCTGTTACCTAGCACAGGATCCTGAGCTTTGGGGATCTGCTTTTAGGCAATGAAAGGGACTAAGGCACTGCCTTCTAAGTAGGAATTAGTGTAGCTTTTTCCTTATATCCGCACCTCAAGCTTATAAAATGGATGATATTGAGAGGCTAGGGACTCAATGTATGAGGCCTTGGGGTTCAATCCCCAGGCACTCCAAGGGAAGGAAAGAAGCAAAGAGGGAAGAAAGAAGGGAGGGGGCATGGTGGGAGGAAAAGATGTTGGGAATAGACTATCTTAGACAACTAGCACTCAACTAGGCAGCAATAAGCCTTTCCACTCAAGCATACACAGTAGGAACATAAGAGACAAATACGAGACTTTTACTCAATACAAGAAAAGGGGAAATGGGGAAAAAAGGGACGAGGAGCAAAAGTGTTCATGGTAGGGAATAATTCCTCTGGAACCATAATGGCAGTAACTAGGCCAATATCCAAGACTACCACCAACTTCAACAGTGTAGAAGATATATAGGAATAGTCAGCTCCAGCCACATTCTGCAAGGAGGGTAAAGAAGGAGAAAAAAAAAAAAAAACTCCCCACAGAGATGGTCCACTAGGGTCCCAGCTCAAGTTCTTTCTTGGCAACATGGTTGCTACAGGTCACAAGGCTCCAGGAGTGCTGTCCGAAACTCTTCAAGGAGAGTTTCACAGTCAGGGGGATGGATCCAACTCAAATAGGTTTCTAGGTATAGGGGAAGAGACCTGAAGAATGAGAAAAGTGATGAGTAAGACTGAAAAGTTGGGCAGACTTCTCTTTCATTCCTCATCACCCTAATAGACTTGAGGACTCCAACTGTCCCTCAGCCCCAAGCTAGCAGGTCTCAGCCTCACCAGGCAGCTTCTTCCTGTGGCATCTGAGTTTGGACCTTCAGCCTCTGCCAGAGAACAAGGGCCTCATCCTTCCGATCCAGCTTCTTCAAAGTCTGAAGCAGGTGAAAGGATGCATCTTTGTTGCCTGTAGCCCCACCCCAGAGTACAAAGACTTAGAACTTGATACAGCTTTTACCATCATTTTCATAAAAGGGGAAACAGGCTTAGACAAGGGAAGTGTTTTGTCTACACTCATACATGAAACCAGGGGTAGATCACTGACAACCATCCCTACCCCAGGGTTTTCTGGCTAACCAGTACAAAGGGCTAAGCGGGCCCTATTCCTACACAACCCATTCCAACTCAGTTATGGTTTTTGTGTCTGGGAACCATGGGGAGCCCAGGGAATTCTTGTGAGCTTTGCAAACACATTCATATATGTTTGTATATGCACACCTACATATATCTTAGGTATGCACCACCCCATTCACTCTTCCTGTCTGGGAACTTATGCCCAAGTATCTCTTCCTTGCACATGTGTGCACAGCTGATATCATGCAAGTATACATACCTGGGGACATCTGTACACTGAGGAGGAAGTCCTTTAAGGCTTTGGTATCCTGGCCACTGGCTACCCATTCTAGTCCACGACTAATCAAGGCAGCTGCCCGAAGTTGCTGCAGTACCACATCAGACTTACACCCCTGCTCACAGTTGGGAACTGCTCCTAGGAACCACCTCCAAAGTCAAAAGGTATGTTCCCAGCCATATAGTCACCAAACCCCCAAGTCTCCCTCTACCTCTTCTTGTGTCCAGAATCCCCTTCTCGTAAGTCTCCCAGTCTAGGAGACAGGGACACATGGAACGAGAACACACTTCCACCACTACCACTTCCAGAGGGTAAGAAAAACTGAAAGTTTAAATCACCTTGTTCTTTGTCCTCGGGTGTGGCCCGGAAGAGCAGCTCAAGGCACCTGAAGTGGATACAAATTAAGTGAAAAACTAAGGTGAGTGAGAATGGCATTCACCAACCTACACTCCAATCATAAAATCATCCTGACACCTCCCCAGGGCTCTGGGTAGCTTCCAGAGCTCACCAGCTAAATTCACTAACTGCCTCTTTTTGGGCTTTCAGTTGTACCCAGGCCTGGCCCTGAAGCAAGTGGGTAGCAGAGACCCAGAGTGGGCAGTGTGGCAGTTCTTTGGCTCCTTTTCTGGCATCTTCCCACAGCTGGGACATCTTGGGAAGCAGAGCTGATGTGCGGCTGAGAAGCTCTTCACATATGGTCAAAGCATCCTGGGCTCGGCCTGCCTGGATCATTGCTGCTGCTGCCTCCAAGAACACCTCTGGCACACAAGGCCCTGGAGGGGCAGGAGGTGGGGAAAACTGGGGTGGGAGGAGGATGCAGTGTCAAGAAGAAGCATGAGTCACCATCGCAACCCCTTCACCAGGCTCTGGTACCATATAGAGAGACCTAGACCCCAAGAATGGACAGGCAGAATAATAAAGGGAAAAACTGGAAATGGCAGTTTTTCTCTACTCCAATGGGAACTCCAACCCTCCCACTTCATCACAAAGAACCTTGAAGACACACCTACCCTTGGCTCTGAGCCATCCAGCAACAGGGCCAGCAGGTCCAAGTAATGCTCTGCAGCGTCTTCTGCCCTGGAGAGTCATAGCCCATGAGTCTCACTTTAGGCCCTTGGCAGGGCCCTCCAAGGGTTCCAGTGAGAATGGTCTCTTAGCTAATGGAGGGATACTCATGGGCCCCGAAGAGTAAAGGACAGGGTGAGATGTTGCAGCTCCAACCCTGGCTCAGTATGATAAACTCGTTATAGGATGGAGAGAAGAGACATCAGCATTTCAAAGATGAAGGAGGCTACTGCCTGGATGAAGAGACCTCAGTTCCGGTACAGCGGTAAAGCAGGAGACTAAGGAGTGAGAACATATGTCCTGCCACTACCTCATTTACCACCCAAGTCATAAGACCAAAAGCAGAGTCACACCCCAGAGAAGGTGTCAAAACTGGGAAGAGGAGGCACAGGTGAACAAGGGAGAGCCTCACCTCCCCAATTGTAGGCATCGGCTCGCTAGCAGGTGCTTAGCCTGGCTCTGTGTGCCACAGTGAAGGGGAGAGGCTTGGTCAGGTTGTGGGAGTAGTAATTCTACCTCAATGAGAAGCTGGGGAGCTTCAAAGCTATGAGTAGCACTCAAGGCCTAAAGGAGACACAAAGAAGAAAGTATATCATCTTTGTGAGCCACACTTCCTTATTGTATCACCCCAACACAAGCACCTCAGCAATCTTCCACCGCACATCTTCACCAGGAAGTTCCTTACCTCAACCAGCAGCTCCAGACTCTCCAGCTCTGCTGATGCGTCCCCCAGTTGCTGATATAATCTGGAAGCCTCCAGAAGTGGAAGACCACAGGCTGTTCCTACTTTCAGGGCTGCAATCAAGTACAGCAGTGCTCTCTGTGGATTTCCCTACATGGGTGAAAGAACACAGGCCTCAGCTACCCTCACAAAGCAGAATGCTGTCTATAATGCCCATCATTTCCCCTCAATTCCTACTAGGGCTGTCTTTACCATTTTACGGAGACAGGTCCCCAGTGCTGTGTACACCTGGACCAACACAGGTCGTGGACACAGACCTGAGGCCGCTTCATGCAGAATGCTCAGTGCCCTAGGCAGACTCCCTGTAATCAGCTCCTGGAGACCTGAGGGCAAACAGGGTACAAGCTTAGAAAGGCCCATTGGGCAGGGAGCATGAGAAACAAGAACCCAGAGAAACTCCATGGAGATGAGATGCATAATTCCAGAGGAACCCTTACGAGTCTGGTATGAGTGTGGTTGTTAGCTGACCTTGGCGGAAGGCAAATGCTGTCAAAAGGACATCCCTCAAACCCTGGGCATCCTGCAGAGTCAGTGGGGCATCTGATTCCTTAACTGGAGGGCTCCAAGTTTTTAGAAGTAGCAACAGATCTTCAGAGGCCCCACTCTGGAAAGAGAAACAAATTAGAGGCTCTAAACCTACAACTACCTCCTTTTCTACTGTCAGTCTACCCCGGTTGGACCTTGAGAACTCAAGAGTTCTTGTTACACCAATTCTAAAAGAAAGACGGCTGTGAGGCAAGGATAAAGGGAGAAGAAAAATTCAGGGCAGTGCTAACCTATGTTAGTGTGCCTTCTCACTCAGGATAAGCACATGAGAACATGGGACAAGAACCATGTTTGAGTTACTAATGAGAAGACTGAGAATGGAAGGTGGCTTCAGCAAGGTCATGAGAGTCCTCACCCTATCTAAATTCATTAAGCCTCCAGGAAAACCTCCAAATGAGGGGTCAACTGGAAAAAGGTCACCAAGAGTCTCTGAGAAAAGTCAGGTTTTCAGACCACCAACCTATCAGCCTTTCCAGCATATAACGTTACTGCAAGCAGAAGGGGAAGGGAACAGGGCGGACATTGTCATTTTTAGGTCACTTTCTCCATTACCTGGCTACCATTCAGGGTTTGCAACAGCAAGGCCAGGTCCCCAATACGGTCAGTGCTCAGCCAGAGAGCAGCCTGCAGGCCAACCAGGTGGTGTAGGGCAGGGAGCAGCTCCGGCAAAAGAGAGGAAGCACGAAGGATGGCGTCCCACAGCTCCCCAAGTCCCTGTCCCACCCTGGGTCCGAGTTGCTCCTGCGTCTCCAGCACTGTAGGGTACACATACACATACACAAAGCTAAGGTGGGATTTATTTATCTTCCCACACTCTCTGGTTCTCTCCTACAAGAGACCCAAAATTACAATAATGATAATAATACCTCAGTGTGGTCTGAGGAGCACATGGAGATTAGAAAAGGGCATCTCTCTCCACAGAGGTGACAGATTTTGCTGTTTCTCTCATACCCTTGGACAGCCTTAAATCTAGACAGATGATGGCAGGAACATAGGAGGCAATCTCTGTCCCTCACCTCTCTCAAGACCCTGTTGAATATCCTGGGTCAGGTCGTCAGTGAAACCCCGGGCCAGGCTCACCCTCAGAGTAATGAAGTTACAGATGACAGTCAGCTCCAAGGGGAGAACCGAAATAGCTGCAGGGAGCCCTGGAGCAACAGATGATGGTCTCAGAGTTTCACAGGCTCTCCCATGAAAGATGCCCCAAATAAGACTGCAACCCAAAGAACACCCCACTCCAACCAAAATGGTCTTAGTAAAGAACCCGTCCTGGGGAGGACCCTGCTTACCTTGCAGACTGTGGAGGAGCTCCCTAAGCCCTTCGAGTGTGTCTTGAGCCAACTGCTGTCGCCTCAGAGACAGGCGTGTGTTCTGAGCCACCTACCAAAAGTGGGAGGAGGTGTTCCTGAGGATTAGTCCTTGTCTCTCTCCTGGTAGCAGTCACCAGGGACACATTCTCGTCGTTTCTGGCTCTTTGCGGGGAGGTCAAGCTCTGCTCCTCCCCGTTGGCGGGGGGTAAATCCATTGTGAACACGCATTCTGTAATCTTGGGGCCACAAAGCGGGGTTCCAACAACTGTGTACCTTGGCCTGTCGAACAAGCCGGTCATTCTTCTCTCTCCAGAGGTCCAGGCAGCTGGTGCGTGGCGCCGAAGAGTCTAGGGACAGGCTAGCAGACCATGTCTGCTGGGACATGATCGCCAAGGCTCAGACCCAACAACTGAAGAGGGCTTCTGATGGGAGAGGCCGGCCCCGCCGAAATCCCCACCGAGCGGGGAGGGAACCTGAGAACCCCGGGCACCAGATCGGGCTCCCTGCTCGCCCGGGAATCCCAGCCAGACCCACACACCCTTCCCAGGAGAAATCCGTCTCTCTCTCCTCGCCGCCCGCCCGGCTCCCACCCCCGCCTCTGGTTGGCCAGGCTGCAAAACTCTCGGCGGCGGTTGGTCCTCTTCAAGCGTCGGATCCCGCGGGAAACCGGCGGCAGAAACTAGTCCGGGTCAACCAGAGGTAACGGAGGCCAGCCAGAGGCATGGGGAGTGGAGGAGTCGCGCGGCTTGCAGCGGCTCGGCCTTCACGGGGGCCACAATCTGAAGAAAGGGTTAGCCGGTCCCGTCTCCGTCCGCGCCCTCCGTCTCCGTCCGCGCCCTCCGTCTCCGCCCGCGCCCTTCGCATCCGACTTTCCCCCTCCGCCGGCCGGCCTGCGCGGTGCATGCTGGGGCGGTAGGTAGGTCCAGCGCACCCAGGAGGTCCTACCTGGGGCACTGACAAGTCACTGGGCTCCGAATTCGCCCCATCCTTTCTCTTTCAACAAGCGGCGTTAGGGAAATTGAACAAGGAAAGGACAAGACAAGGGAACTCGACCTTAAATACATAAAAAATCAGCTTAAATGGGTCACAAATTAAATATAGCAGCCCAAAATACAAAACTTACTAAAGAGAACGTAAGACAACACTTTTGTGACCTTGGATTTAGGAACGAGTCCTTAAATACATTAAAAGCCTGAGCAAGTCGGGTGTCGGTGGCTCACACCTGCAACCCTAGCTACTGAGGAGGCAGAGATCAGGGGGATTATGGTTCAAGGCCAGCCCGGGCAAATAGTTCTTAAGCCCTTATCTCAAGAAAACCTTTCACAAAAAATGGCTGGTGGAGTGGCTCGAGGTGTAGGCCCCGAATTCAAAACCCAGTACTGAAAAAAAAAAAAGCAACAAGAACAAGAAGAAGCATAAACAAAAAATAAATTAGACTATTAAAAATGAAGAACTCTTGTGCTACAGACATTAAGAAAATCCAAAATAGGCTGGCGGAGTGGCTCAAGTGGTAGAGCACCTGCCTAGCGAGCACAAGACTCAGTTCAACTCCAGTATGGAAAAAAAGAAAAGAAAGTAAAAGTCAGGGTTGGTGATGTAGGTCAGTGCCAAAAAAAAAAAAAAAAAAAGGTAAGGTCATTTGCCTGGCATGTGTGAGGCCCCAGGTTTGAATACCCAACAGAGAGAGAGAAGCAAATCTCAGAACTAGAAAAGAAGGAAAGAAGGAAGAGCTGGTTCAAGTAGTAGAGTGCCTGCCTAGCTAGCATGAAGCCCTTAGTTCAAAGCCCAGTACTGCCAAAATAAATAAGTAAATAGCTTAAAATCAATTTTAAAATGAACAAAAAAATTGAACATTTACCAGATATACGAAGGACTGAAAAGCTATAAAAATGATGCTCAAAGGCTGATGTTGTAGCTCAGTGGTTTAGTATTTGCATAGCATGCAGGAAGCCCTGGGTTCAAGCCCCAATACCACACACACATACAAATGATGCTCAACATCATTAGCTATTAGAGAAATGCAAAAATTTTAAAACAATGAACACCCAAGTGCAGTGGTATGTGCCCATAATCCAAGCTAGTGTATAATCATTCTGGAATCTGAGGCAGGAGAATAGCAAGTTCAAGGCCAGCTGGACAACACAGCAAGACCCTGTCTCAAAAATAAATAAATCAAAAACCATGAGATCCTACTATATACCTACATAGAATGTCTACAATCAAAACAACAGATAACACCAAGTGTTGGTGAGGATACAAAGAAACTACAACCCTCACATATTGCTAATGAGAATATAAAATGGTTTGTAAAACAGTTTAGAAGAATATTTTAAAAAACTTAAATCATGAGCCAGGCATGGTGGGGCATACTATAATCCCAGCAACTCAGGAGGCAGAGGCAGGAGGATTGCATTTCAAGGCCAACCCAGGCAAAGCTAGCTCAAGACCCTAGCTAAAAAACAAAAAGCAAAAGGAGTTGGGGCTGTGACTCAAGTGGTAGAGAGTGTGTCTAGTAAGCAAAAAGCCCTGAGTTCAATTCACAGTACCAAAAGAAAAAAAAAAAACTTGAAAAGACTTAATTAGAAAATTGTATAAATTGTGACTGGAATCCTAGGCCACAGGCACAACATATCAGGTCCAGCCACTCACCCAAGTACACCAAATACACCAAGTACACCAAGTAGTGGCAAAGAGTAGAGAAATCACTGGCACGCCATGAGCCAAGGCAAAGTAAGCATTTCAGCCTATCTTTTGGGATACAGATGTGAGCTTTAGGTTTATACAGAGAATAATTTGGGGCAGGAGGAAAGAAGTATGCATAATTAAACAGTCCCAAACAAAGTATGGCTTGGTTGATTATTATCTCAATTCTGATTCTGCCAAGGGTTCTGGAGTTGTTATTGCTGTCATCACTTGAAAGAAGCAATCTGGTTCTTAAGAGATGATTACTCCTGCTCCAGGGTGCAGCCTCATCATTATAGGTAATTGTCCTTATTTGAGGGGTGGTCTGTCTTGCCAGGCTCTGCTGTTCCTTTTCTTTAGTAGTTTCAGTACCTTGTCATAAAGATGTCATTGACCAGTTCTGTCCTTCCTGGTAGCCAAAGTGATTGTAGGGGAGAGGCTCAGAGTAAAGGAGACAGATGTAAAATGGCAGCAGGTATGCCAAGTTTTTCTTCTTCTTTTAGTTAATTTGTGGGCTTAAGTAAGGAGTCAGTGCTTTTTAACAAAAGCAGTTTCTAATAACTTATTATACTATGACCCAGAAATACCACTCCAAGGAATACTTCCAAGAGAAATGAAAACATGTTTACACCAAGAATTGCATACAAATATTCATAGCAGTTAAAAATGTTCACAACTAAACAGAACTTTCTCAAAAGAAGAAATTCAAATAGCCAGAAAACACATGAAAAAATGCTCACCATCTCTAGCAATAAAGGAAATGAAAATTAAAACCACGCTAAGATTCCACCTCACCCCTGTTAGAATAGCCATCATCAGCAACACCACCACCAACAGGTGTTGGCGAGGATGCGGGGAAAAAGGAACCCTCTTACACTATTGGGGGAATGTAGACTAGTACAACCACTCTGGAAAAAAATTTGGAGGCTACTTAAAAAGCTGGACATCGATCTACCATTTGATCCAGCAATACCACTCTTGGGGATATACCCAAAAGACTGTTACTCCAGAGGCACCTGCACATCCATGTTTATTGCGGCACTATTCACAATAGCCAAGTTATGGAAACAGCCAAGATGCCCCACCACTGACGAATGGATTAGAAATGTGGTATCTATACACAATGGAATTTTATGCAGCCATGAAGAAGAACGAAATGTTATCATTCGCTGGTAAATGGATGGAATTGGAGAACATCATTCTGAGTGAGGTTAGCCTGGCTCAAAAAACCAAAAATCGTATGTTCTCCCTCATATGTGGACATTAGATCAAGGGCAAACACAACAAGGGGATTGGACTATGAGCACATGATAAAAGCGAGAGCACACAAGGGAGGGGTGAGGATAGGTAAGACACCTAAAAAACTAGCTAGCATTTGTTGCCCTTAACGCAGAGAAACTAAAGCAGATACCTTAAAAGCAACTGAGACCAATAGGAAAAGGGGAACAGGTACTAGAGAAAAGGTTAGATCAAAAAGAATTAAGCTAGAAGGTAACACCCACGCACAGGAAATCAATGTGAGTCAATGCCCTGTATAGCTATCCTTATCTCAACCAGCAAAAACCCTTGTTCCTTCCTATTATTGCTTATACTCTCTCTACAACAAAATTAGAAATAAGGGCAAAATAGTTTCTGCTGGGTATTGGGGGGGGAGAGGGAGGGGGCGGAGTGGGTGGTAAGGGAGGGGGTGGAGGCAGGGGGAGAAATGACCCAAGCCTTGTATGCACATATGAATAATAAAAGAAAAATGAAAAAAAAAAAAAGTTCACAACAGGGCACCCTTTCTTGGGACCCCTCCCAGCTCTGGGAGCTCTACTCTTTGCTATTTTTCTTTCTCAATAAGCTCTCCCACTTTACTCAAAAAAAAAAAAAAAGTTTACAACAGGGCTGGGAATATAGACGAGTGGTAGAGTGCTTCCCTAGCATGAGCAAAGCCCTGAGTTCAATCCCAAGCATCACCAAAAAAATTTAAATTAAAATGCTCACAGTAGCTAAAAACAATCATAGCCAATTATTCAGTAATAAGAAAGGAAGCAAAATAGTGATACATGTACCAACATGGGTGAACCTCAAAAACATTATTCTAAGTCAAAGAAGCCAGATATAAAGACACAGATAGCATAACTGCCATTTATATTAAATGTCTAGAAAAGACAAATTTATAAATACTGAATACAGATCAGTGGCCTATGGTGGGACTAAGGATTGACTGTAAACAAAGTGTAGGGAATTTGGGAGAATGATGGAAATGTTCTAAAATCAAATCACTGCATTTCGTAATGGTTTCTTACATATGACACCAAAAGCACAAACAACAAAAGAAAATATTAGATGAGTTGGACTTTATCAAAATTAAAAATGTGCTTCAAATGACATTATCAACAAAACAAAAAGAAAACTGTAATTGAAATTTGGTCTTCATCTCCATTTCCTGACTCATAACTCCTTTCCCAAGATGAGTCATAAAAATAATCTTTCCCTCCTTTTAGATAGCCATGAAGAAATTTTCTGACCTACCTTTTTTTTTTTTTGCAGTGCTAGGGTTTGAACTCAGGGCCTGCCACTTGAGCCACCCACCAGCCCTTTTTAGTGATGGGTGTTTTCGAGATAGGGTCTCGTGAACTATTTGCCCTGGCTGGCTTCAAACCATGATCCTCCTGATCTGAGTAGCTAGGATTACAGGTATGAGCCACCAGCGCCCGTTTTACCTTGACTGATAGTAGGTGATTAAGACCCTCGATGTCCTATGCCTGGGAGGAAAGAATGCTGCATGAGTGGCCAAAAAGAATCAGTAAATCCTGGCATGGTGGTACATGCTTGTAATTCCAGCACTGGGGAGGCTGAGGCAGGAGCATCTTGAGTTTGAGGCCATGATGGGCTACGTAATGAGTTAGTGGCCTGGGGTACATATCAAGACCGTGTCTCAAAAAAAAAAAAAAAAGGAAAAAGAAAAAGGGCTAGGCACTGGTGGCTCGTGTCTGTAATCCTACTTTCCTAGCTATTCATGAGGCAGAGATCAGGATTGTGGTTTAAAGCCAGCCTGGGAGGATAGTTCAAGAGACCCTATCTCGAAAATACCCAACACAAAATAGGGCTGAGTTCAAATCCCAGAACCACCAAGAAAAAAAAGCATCTGAATAGACAGGCCTTACTGGGTTCCCCCTACACACCTCCCTCACCCTGTGCCAGACTACTGGCAACCTTGTCTATGGCATGAAGTACCATAAACACCCAAAAGGACAGGGTTTGGAGAGCTTCCTGATAGCTGAGTTTGGGGATATTTCTGGAGGTAGTGTGCTTGGAGAGGGCATGGAAACTGTGTGCCCCTTCCCTTGCACCTCACTTTATGTATCTTTTAATTTGTATCCTTAATAATAAGTGGTAAACATAAGTCAATTTTTTCTTGAATTCTGTGAACCTCTCAAGCAAATTAACCAAAGCCAAGGAGGCAATTGTGGGAATCCTGATTTATATGCAGTCAGTCAGAAGCATAGGTAAAACAACTCAGGGCTTATGACTGGCACCTAATTGGGGAGAATAGTCTTGGGGATTTGACACTATCTCACGGTAAGTAGTATCAGGACTGAATTGAGGCCAAGCCTAGTGGCTTGTATCTATAATCCCAGATACTTAGGAGGTGAAGATCAGGAGGATTGTACTTCGAGACCACCCTGGAGAAAAAGTTAGTGAGACCCCATTTCAACAAAATAAGCTGATCATAGTGGCACACATCCATAATCTCTGCTACATGGGAATCATGAGGTAGGAGGATCTAGGTCCAAGCCCAGCTCTTGGCAAAAATGCAAGAGCCTACCTGAAAAATAACTAAAGCAAAAAGGGACCAGGGACATGGCTCAAGTGGAAAAGCACCTGGTTAGCAAGCACTAAAAGCCCATACTTCAAATCTCAGTAATCATCCCCACCAAAAAAAAAGAACTGAATTGAACTAGAGGATACTCAACTGATAATCTGCTGTAGAATTGCTTGCTTGCTGGTAGGGAAAAAAATCCCACCTTTTGAGGTCACAGAAGTCTTCTGTGGGTTGGCAACCCACAGAATGGAGAAAATATTTGCAAGCAATATCTGCTATATATATTTATATATCTAGAATATATAAAGAATGCTTTTATTTTGTAAAATTAATATGCACTGGTAAAAAAGACTGCTTATAGGCAGAGGGCCTGGCTCAAATGGTAGCTCACCTTCTAGCAAGTAAGAGGCCCTGAGATCGAACCCCAGTACCACCAAAAAAAGAAAACACACACACACACACAAATGCTTACAACTCAGTATTTAAAAACACAAACAACTCAATTAAAAATAGGCAGAGGGATAGGTGTGAAGACGAAACAACAACAACAAAAAACAAGTATTGACACAGATGTGGAGAAATTGGAACCCACATAACTGCTGGTGGGGATGTAAAACTTAAACATGAAGTCTGAAGGTGTGGCTCAAGTGGTAGAGCACCTGCTTAGCAACTGCAAAACTGTGAGTTCAAACCTCAGTACTACCAAAAAAACCAAAAAACAAAAAACCCAATTTATACATGAATACTCAGAACAGCATTATTCATAACTGAAAGGTAAAAGCCCAGATGTCCATCAATGGAGAAGTAAAATGTGGTATATCCATGAAATGGAATATTATTTGTCCACAAAAAGGAATGAAGCCAATGCATGCTATAACATGAATTTTAAAAACATTACGCTAAGTGAAAGCCAGACAGAAAAATAAATAAAAATTAAATAATAATAATAATCTCCTTTCTCTGCCTTAAAAAAAAAAGCCAGATGGAAAAGGGCACATTTTAAATTATCTCTTTGTGCGTGTGTGTGTCTGTGTGTGTGTGTATAATACTGGGGACTGAACTTAGAGTCTTACACTTGCTAGGCCACATCCCCACTTGAGCCACATCCCCAGTCCTGAATAATCACATTTATATGAAATATAATGTGATTATTATAATATGAAAACAGATTAGTAGAATACTTAGAGGGTAGAGTTTCTTTGGGGATGAAAATGTTCAAGAATTGGTAGTTGTGACTGGGCACTGGTGGCTCATACCTGTAATCCTAGCTACTCAGGAGGCAGAGATCAGGAGGATCATGGTTCGAAGCCAGCCCAGGCAAATAGTTCTGCAAGACCCTATCTCAAAAAATCCTTCACAAAAATAGGGCTGGTGGAGTGGCTCAAGGTGAAAACCCTGAGTTCAAACTCCAATACCACAAAAAAAAAAAAAGAACTGATAGTTGTGATGGCTGCTCAACATTAAGAATGCACTAAGGTCTACTGAATTATACTTTGAAATAGTAAATTTTGCCAGGCACAGTGGTACATAACTATAATCCCAGCACTCAGGAGGATGAGGCAGTAAGATCACAAGTTGAGGCCAACCTGGGCTATATCCTATCTCAGAAAAACAAAACAAACAAAAGGTGAACTTTATCTCCTTTCTTTTTGGCAGTACTGGGGTTTGAACTCAGGGCCTTGCACTTGCTAGGCAGGCATTCTACCACTTGAGCCATTCCACTAGTCCAACATTATCTCAACTTTAAAAAACAAAAAGAGGGGCTGGTGGAGTGGTTCAAGTAATAAGAACATTACCTAGTAAGTGTAAGGCTCTGAGTTCAAATCCCAGTGCTGCCCCCCAAAAAAAGAATTAAAAAAGAAAAAGAATGAAGTTCTGATACATACTCCTTATGAACCTTGAAAACATGCTGAAAGAGGTCAGCCACAAAAAGACCATATAATCACATTTCTATAAAATGCCCAGAATATAGAGACAGAAAGCAGATTAGTAGTTCCAAAAGCTGGGGGTGGTTGGAGGTTAATAGCTAAAGATATAGTTACTCTTGGGTTGGTGAAACTATTCTAAAATTGCTTTTTATTGATGGTTGTTGAACTCAGAATACACGAAACCATTGGATTATATATTTTAAATGAATTTTATAATTGCATTTCAGTAAAACTCTTCAAAAACAGATTCACTGAGTTAGTGTGGAATGGAATCATTTTTGTTGTTGTTTATTGAGACAGGGTCTCATGTAGCATAGGAGGCCTCAAACTTGCAATCCTCCTGCTTCCCAAACAAAAGTTCCAATGATGTAAATCAATGTACTAACATGTTTTTCTTTTCTTTCCCCCTTTTTTTTTTTTTTGCAGTACTGGGGTTTGAACACAGGGCTTCGCACTTGCTAGGCAGATGCTTTACTTTTTAAGCCATGCCTCTAACAACACATCTTTTTTTTTTTTTTCTCCTACATATCTTTTTCTAAAAGAATTGTGTAAATGTATCACAAGAAAGGAACATAGACAGTGGTTGGCAGGAGAGGCAATTATCCTTAGGTTCTAGGCAAGGGGGACCCTGAAAAAAGAACAAAACAAAGCAAAACAAGCTGGGTGCTGGTAGCTCATTCCTGTAATCCTAGTTACTCAGGAAGCAGAGATCAAGAGGATCGAGGTTTGAAGCTAGCCCGAGCAAATAGTTTGTGAGATCCTATCTCAAAAAAACCCTTCACAAAAAAGGGCTGGTGGGTATAGACCTGAATTCAAACCCTAGTACTGCCAAAAAAAAAAAAAAAATAACTGGCAGAGATGAGGGGTTGGATTCCAAAATCTTTTCCATGGATACTGGGGATGAAAAAAGGTCTTTTTTTTTTCTTCCCCTCAAAAAGACACCAAACAAAAAAAATTAGTAAGCACACAAAAAAAATTAGTAAGATTAAAAGAGCACCAAACTATGCTCAAGAGTTGTAATCAAAAGATTGGGGAGGGTGTTTTCCTAATTTATCTTACAAACTAGTTGGGATCTAACTTGCATTATCACACCTGTTTCTATCAGGGTAACCTTTAATTCCCTCAAATAGTATATATTTTCCATAATCTTTCCATTTGATTCTATTACAGTAGGGTCTATTGGCCATTAATAATTTGAACTCTTCCCTTAGCTACATAACACAACAGTGAATGTTTCTACTTGTAACCATCAGTTTCCTTCTCCTGCTAACTAAAGGTAGGTAGTGTCCTATGGCTTTAACATCTATTCTTTTTTTCAGCAGTCCTATCTCCTCCTGACTTGAGCGTACTCAAACCTCAAACCCCAGTCCTGACCCTTCTCTCCAGTCTCTTCCCAACTTCTGTGATGCACATCTCTTAGAAGATATCGTGCTTCAAATATGATACCTGAGTGGTGAGGTACAGAAGGCACAGGAGACATACTAGAGAAGCATTAGAGCCAGGCATGGAGCTGGGTGCCAATGGCTCATGCCTGTAATCCTAGCTACTTGGGAGGCTGAGATTGGGAGGATCATGATTCATAATTCAAGGTCAGCCTGGACAAATAGTTCACAAGACTCTATCTCCACAATAACCAGAGCAAAATGAATTGGAGCTAGGTGGCTCACACCTGTAATCCTAGCTACTCAGAAGGCAGATATCAGGAGAATTGCAGTTTGAAGTCAGCCTGGGCAAAAAGCTCATGAGACCCTATCTCAAAAAAAAAAAAAAAAAAAAAAGTGGCTGGAGGAGTGGAGTTCAAACCCCAGTACTGAAAAAAAAAAAAAAAGAACCAGAGGTATGGCTCAAGTGGTAGAGCACCTGCTTTGCAAGCACGAAGCCCTGAGTTCAAACCCCAGACCTACCAAAAAGAAAAAAAAAGCTAGGCATGGTGTATACGTGTAATCCCAGTTACTTGGGAGGCAGAGGCAAGAGGATTGTGAATTCCAGGCCAGCCTGTCCCCCACTCCCACTAAAAATTTTTTTTTTTTTGCTTTTTGGCCTTTTGGCTTAGATTAAGTCTAAAACCTAAACAGAAAAACAAAGGGCTTGGGATGTAGTTCAAGTGGTAGAACGCTTGGTTATCATGCACAAGGCTATGGGTTCAATTTCCAGGATTAGGGGCAGGGGAGGAAGAGAAGAGAGACACAGAGAGAGACAAACAGACATTTGGCTTCAAATCATGAATAATCAATGGGACAAGGTGGAATGCTGTATAAGATGGGTAGCACAGGATGGGAAACTAGAATCTTCCACAGAAGCAAAGGGCAAAGGACTTTCTAGAGTGAAAGGGTGAAAGGATACAGCACTATCTGGGGCTTCGGTAAAAGTCTGTTTGCTCCATGATGCCTATCTTGTCTTTTCAATCTTCTATTATTAGCCAAAAGCAGAGAATTTAATAAAATATGTTGAGTTGCAAAAGAAAATGGCAGGTGGTAATAGGAATGATTTTGGGGGCAGTGAATTCAGAGAACTCCAACCTATTGGTGTAGCAAGCCCTGTCAAAGATGGCAGATCCAATCTGTGCCTTGTGGGAGAGGAAACTGACCTTCCCTACTAGGGCTCCTCCACATCTCAGACACACATATTTACATTATTATTTTATTCCACTTTAGAGACCATCCCTGTAGTTCATTAGATTCATCCAAATCAGGAGTTAGGGATCAGGCTCCACTGTGATACTGAATTATAAAATAACAAAGTTCCAGAGCCAGCAGCCCCTGGCTGCTTGGTGGTAAGAAGCTCCCTTGCAGGTCATCCAGCACCTGTATAGGCCAGGCTGGATTATTCTCCAGCTGTCTCCATAGCCAGGTACCTGCCTCCACAGCCTGGGCTACCTCTGTTGAATCAAAACTAGTTTTCTGAACCAGGAGCTCACAGCACCATCCACTCGCATCACCAAAGCTATGCCCAGGAGAAGTCCCACGCTGCTCACAATGAAGCCTATGGCCTCGAAAATGAACCTACAAACAAAGATGGGATACTTTAGAGGACAGACAGTAAGTCTAGTGCCTTTCCCCTACAGAGGCAAAACCCTGTCCACCCTGAAAGCCCACATTTTGCTCAAAGTCTCCCTCTTCACTCCCTGTCCTTCTCAAGTAAATCCACTCACTTGGGGGCAAACACCTTCCAGACCATAAGATGCCTGCGGAGGATGAAGGCTGCCAAAGCACAGGCCAGAATCTAAAGGAAGAGAGGAATGCCCATGTTACTTGGGATGATAGGGAGGAAGTAGGGTAAAGGGAGAGCTGTTATAAGATCCTGTGAAAGATGAAAGGAGAAAGAAAGTAGTGTGTGCCACTGGGAAAAACAAAACAATAAAAAAACAAAAACCTGGGCTAAGAATTTAGAGACCCAATTGTTGTCCTGGCCCAAACACTGACTTGCTATGTGACCATGGGAAAGTCACTATTCATCTGTGATGCTAACATTCAGGCTCTGCCTACCAGGGTAGGGGAGATGTCAGCACCATACCTTCTGCCTCTGGAGGAAAGGAGGAGGCTCCATGACAAAGTTTGGGAAAGAATCCTGGCTATGACCTCAGCTTTTCCAGTATGTTCATTAATGGAATAATCCCTCAACGCAACTAGGAGGGTCCAGATCTAGGTTGCAGAGAGGAAATGATCCTGGACTAGAGTAAGAAAACCCAGGTTTCAAGTCTTAAATCTGCCATTTGAGGCCTGGATTTGTGCAATCACTTCATTTATCTGGACCTCAGTCAAGGCTTTCTTCCAGGGTTTTTATTTTTTTATTTCTATATTTTGGGTTTTGCACTTGCAAAGCAGGCACTCTACTGCTTGAGCCACACTTCCAGTCCCCTTCCAGGATTTTTAATACTACAAAAGAGCATGAAGCACATACATGAGAAAAGATCACTAGTTCCACAATTTCTCCCCTACGCCCACCTGAATGCCAAGTACAAAGAGGTACTTGAGGCCCAGCTGCAGCAGTGCTGCATTGAAGTGGTGAGGTGCATCCCGGAGCCGCATCTCCATCAGTGGTTCCTTCTCCTCCTCTTCAGACCTGACTCTGGCCTCAGCTTCACTCCCTAGGGGCTGTCGCCCTTTCCTTGGTCCTTGACTCTCACACAGGAAGGGCCAGAGTAAGAGCAGTGGGCAACCTACTGCCTCAGGGAAGACAAGACTGGCATCAATAGAGGACCTTGGGACTAGTCCACCCTAATCCCCAGCCACCCCAATTGGCCAGAGTCTAATTAGCTCTCACCAAGAGATGCCAAGGATCTGACAAAACCTTATATTCCCATCCATACCCAGGGATATCTTTTCCTTCTACAAAGCAGAGTAAACAATGGATGGTAGGGAGGGAAAGCAGGGAGATACCTGCAAAGAGGAGGTGGGAGGCAAAGGTGTTGGCTCCCACTAGCAAAGCAGGCAGCCAAGTAGAGGAACCATGACCTTCTGGGAATCCTACAAAGGCTGCGTGCCAATGGATGGCTGGAAAGACAGGCTGGTGGCCTGTGGAGTAGAAGGTCTGTGTGGCCATGAGGGCCCAAGCTGAGACTGCCTGCCATGGCACAATAAAAGGACCTGGAGGAAAAAAAATTATGTTTTTACAATCATAACTTGTTCCCTAATCCTTAGCCTATGGCTCCATGATCATATACTCCTAGTACTTCAGTGCTAATTTTCATACCTATTCTTATGGCCACTATCCAACCTCCCTATTGTCAACGCTGTTATTCAAATTACCTCCGTAGCACAAATCCATCATTCTAATATGAGCCCCACTGTGTTCAATCTCTTTCTCTGCCTCACACACAGCTCATTATGCTATAATATATTCATAGTTTGCTATTTCTATTATTAAAAAAATCAGGAAATATGCTCATGAGGATGCATTTCCACAAAAAATGAGTCTTGGAGGACTCCTTATCCCCCTTCTCCATGAACTATGACAGTCTGAGGAAGGGATTAGATTGATGATGGTAGGTAAGACAGGCTATCAGGAAGACTTTCCCAACTGTGATGAGCATGAGACCCTGTGTTGAGGCGAGAAACACAAGGAGCAATACCTCCCTGAAGAGCACTGGGCTGTACTGTCCTCAGATATATCAGGGCTGATATATATATATTTACCAGGCGTGGTGATAGGAATCCCAGCAGCAAGCAGATGCAGGAGAAGGAAGCTCTGCAGAAACAGAAGCAGGAACACAAGGCTGATGCGCTCTGCATGCAACAGCAGAAGTGGGAAGGCCAACAGGGTGAGGGCTGTGACCATAGCGGCTGAGTAGACACTCCCCAACTGATAGGCAGACACAGTCAAGGGACCCTGAGATTTGGTCCTCTCTAGCCGGCCCCGGAACTCCTCCTGCATGTGTCGGTAGATTTGAGGGACCACATAATCCAGATCAGCCTGAGAAGTGGGGGGTCCTGAGAAGGGAGTGAGGACAGTCCTGGTCCTTGAGGCACCAGCTCCAACCTTCACCAGTACTGCTACAGGCCTCCAGAGCAGCAGCACTAGCCCTGAAGCAGCCAGCCCTACCACAGTCCGAGGCAGCACAACTGATGCCCCAGCAACCAGGGCCCGGAGACGTGGAGGTGCTTCATCTGCTCCTGATGCTAATGCCCAGTAGGCAGCAGTGCCCAGTGCCATGAGAGGCAGCCCCCAGCGCACAAAGAGCACAGGGGGCTCTGGGCTCTTGAGATTTCCATAGCGTTGAAGCCATAGGCGCACAGCAACTAATAGAGCCACCAGTGCCCCCACACAAGCTCCGTACCACAAATTCTTGGCTCGACCACCCACCATGGATGCCAGAGGACTCAGCCAAGGAGAGGAGTGGCAAGCAGGTGTCTCTTCAGGGCAGCGATGAAAAAGCCCAGCTAGCCTTGTACATAAAAGCAACCCAACTCCAAGCCTTAGGGCATATGCACCACTGTGCCGTGGAGGGCCTGTTGGGGCAGAAGAGCCAAGGCGGGACATTGTGAACAGCTTAGGTGGCAGCAGCTGGCCCTCCCAGTGAAGCCTGGCAACCAGGAAAAATATGAGTGAGCCTAAAAGGAAGGGGGTGGCTCTGGCCTCAGCAATAACAAAACTATCAGAGAAGAAGGCAGCCAAGCGAATAAGCAGGAGTAATAGGACAGGCCCAGGAATGGGAAGTAGGATTGCCAGGGGCTTCTTGGACCCCCAACCAGCCCAGGCTTTCCACAGAAAAGGGAGGAGTGAGCCTGTTGCAATCACAGACCCTAGAATCACTGGATCCAGCTGCAGCCCATTAGTTGCCAAGAGTCCAGCATACAGTATGGCACCAGAAAGGCCCCAGGCTACAGGAATCAGCAACAGAGGGCGGAAGGGGAAGCCCGGGGATGTTGCCCACTGGGATGAGAGCAGGCAGAGTAAGCAGGAAGCAGCCAAGAGGGCAGCACCCCACGTCATGCGGACTAAAGAGAAACGGGCCCAAGACTCAATGCATATGGCCCGAGCTCCACGCAGGAACTGCTGCAGCTCAGCAATTACAGTCTGCAATGTTGCCTCAGCCCCCTGGGGGCTCTGCCGAAGCCATTGGTAGTCAGCAGAGGCCTTGGAGAAGAGATTCTGCAGCTGATGAAGCTCCTTAACTTGGAGGTCCTGAGTAACAGCTGAGTAGGTGTGAAGAAATCGGGACACCTTGGCAGAAAAGGTTGGAGGCAAAAGGAAACAGGTAAAGAAAAAAAAAAAAAAAAGGAAACAGGTTAGAGATATAAATCAGAACAAAAACAAGGGTATTACAAAAGGGGGTACCTGGATATCAGGGACTCAAATTCTGTCCAGGATGGCGAAAGGGAGGGATAATGAAAGGGGAAGGTGGGAAGAAGACTAGACAAAGAACAATGGGATGGTCATTACGCTTTATCACTCAGGAGCCTAGTCCCCTCACTTACCTGCTGGGCATTGAGATGGAGAGCTGTGGCTTGGGCTAGAGCAGAGGAATGAGGCAGGGGGTCCTTGCCACCCGAGAATAGCTCAGCTATCACCTCTCCAATGTTCCCAAATGGGATGGGCAGGCCTAGGAGCAGGGCCAGTGTGGGCACGAGACTGACTTGAGGAATCACCTCTGGCTCCTAAAGGGATAGGACGGGTCAATGGGGTTCATTCTAAAGATGAAGTCAGTGTTTAGGACAGAAGACACAGGGGCCTAGGTAAGAAATGACAGTAGGGGATACCCAGCTCATGGTTTTGAGAGCCTAAATACAGGGATCCATGAGGATGTTGTGATCATGATGTGGACAGACTATTAGGGGACCAGAAGAGGCAACCCCAGGCCTCACCTCTGGTGGGGTGCTGGGGAACAGAGCTGTGGGGCTGTACACAAAGAGTGCAGCTGAGACCTCTGGCTCACTGTCCCCTCCATGGTCCCCATTCATGGTCATCCCGTGGTCCCCAGCCACCACCAGCAGTGTGTCATTGTCCAGACGCTCCACAAGTCCCCTGGGGGCCAAGAAATGTGTCAGGAGATAGGGATAAAGATTTTTCTCAGAGGCCCATTCACTCCCAGTATAACTTCCATCAACAGGGCCTAGACCTCTCACAAAGAGCCACCACTTTAGCCATAACCCTACTGCTACACACTGAGTTATTTAAGATGGATGATGCCCCTAGCTTTAGAAAAGGCCTATAGAAGATAGAATTCAGCCAGCAAAGAGGCTTCAAATAAGGTTTTTTTCTCCTGGTATCAAATATCCTGAGATTCTCAAATATAAACCCACTTCCCCAACCAATATCCCACACTCACTGGATAACCTGGTCCATCTGGCTAAGTTTCTTGGCCATTTCAGGGTGGTGAGGGCCATGCTTGTGGCCACAATGATCCACACCCAGGAAGTGAGCAATCAGCACGTCCCATTCACCACTGTCCACTGTGAAGGGGAGAACACTGAGCATAGGGAATTAAGGCCCACTCTTTAACCCCAGTCAAGCTTTTGACATTCCTCCATGTCTAGGGACACAACCCCAGGCCGACTGCACCCATGGGAGGTCCAGAATCTATCACTAAAGCAGCTCTCCCCAACTCCCAGTCTTGGTCAGGGTCTAAGTACTCTAGCCCCATGCTCACTGGTGGGATAGAGGTGTTCCAAGATGCCATTGTCCACTGTGTGTAGGTCTCTAACATTGAAGGATGAAAAGAAGAAAGCTTGGGAAAAAGCTCCAGGAAAAAGGTCTTTCCAGGTATCATCTCCCATGAAGACTATACGCCTTCCTGCAGGGACAAGAGGAGGGGTCAGAGCCTGAATAGGAGTCAGGGAAGGGGAGAATACAAGACCCTTTAAAGACCCATCAGAAATTACAACCACGCACCCTAAGATACACAATTCCATTTAACAACTCTTAATCCATTAAGGGCCTACAATTTCTCATCAGGAAACCTGATATAGTTTCCTTACTTCACCCAGATCATTCACTACTTTTGCTAAAAAAATGATCTGCTATCTGGGTGTCGGTGGCTGACACTTGTAATCCTAGCTATTTGGGAGGCAGAGATCAGGAGGATCATGGTTCAAAGCCAGTCAGGGCAAATACAGATTGTATCTCAAAAACACTCAACACAAAATGGCTGGTGGAGGGGTCAAGTGGAAGAGCATCCGCCTAGCAAGCATGAGGCCCTGAGTTCCAACCCCAGTATCACCAAAAAAAAAAAAAAGGGATCTGCTAGTTCTCAGTCCCAAGGTATCTCTGTTGACCTGTTTTTCCTGCACATAGCCTGATTTTTTCCATCAATAAGTGAACAGGCCTAGATCCCTCTATTCTCTTCTTCATACTTGTGAACCAAGACCACTTTTTCTATTCATCTCTTCCCTACCTATTTACTGAGAGTTCCCCAAGAGTAAAACCAACACTGTGCAAATGAGAAGCTTCACCAAGGACAAAACCCTTTGTTCCCAAACTGAGGTCCCTACATGCAAGGCCTTGATCTTTCTCCTCCCCAATCCCCCTACACCACCATAGCTAAGCATGTAGCCAGGCACCAAAGTTCTAACTGCTAGAGAAATCTTCCCAGGTATGCCTGGGGTCCATACTGACCTGCACTGGTGAGCTGCTTAATAAGATTGTCTTCCACTATGGCATGACTGGCGAAGTTACTGCCAGCATCAATAAAGGTAGGTAGTGAGCCAGTGGTGAGGGCCTTGAGGCGCTGCATGGTGGTGGTGGGGGGATCAACCTGAGATCGGTATAGTCGGGCATGATGAGGCTTAATCTCCAGGATCCTCTGCAAGGTGCCTAGTTTGCCCAGGAAGGGCAAGAAGGCAGGATGCTCCCCAGGCACGTGTGAGCGCTGGGGCTGAGCAAAGTCAAATCGCAGAGCATCTATCAGCACCAACACAACCCGAGAGAACCGAGAAGCCATCCAGCAGGCCCCAGGCTTCCCTTGGCTCCCCCATGGCAGGGACCCAGGGCCTGGGAGCTCATGGCAGCTGCTTTGGTTGGTGAGCTCCAAACGGGTGAGAAGGAAGCCAGTAGTGAAGAGGGTAATGCCAGCGTAGAAAAGGAAACAGACCCAGACCAGGAAGAGCAGCACCGAGGCCTTCTGCATCCTGGTAGGGACAGGGAAGGGAACTTATCATTGTGGGATAAGAATCAGTGGATATTCTGCTCCCTCATTACAGTTCCCAAGTGGAATCATTCCCTCTTAAAAGCCTTTCTGGGATAAACAACCTCATTGCCAGTTCTTTCCAACGTTCCTCTCTGCCAGTTATACCAGTGTTTCTGAATGAGAGGTCGCAACACAGTGGGCATCAACCTGGAGCCCACCCAACTTCTACGGAATCAGGATCTTTAGGGGTGGGGCACGGGAATCTTCAGGTGTACAAGTGGAGATCCTAATGCTGAAAAAAAACATACTCCACGAGGAAAACTCATTCCGAGTGGCAGACTGTTCTCTCACAGGCCTGTTCAGCGCCTCTCTCGGGCCTGTTTCAGCACCCTGGGTGTCCAGGGCTCCCAGCCGCAGGGGAATCCGGACTCAGCAAACTGCGCCGCCTGGCGGGGACCAACGGATGACGGGGAGGAGTCACGCTCCGCTTCTGGGCCTCCAGGATCGCCAGAAAATCGCAGGTGCGGCGTCCCACGCGCGGAGGGGCAGAGCGCGGGTCTAAAGCCAGTTGGGCCTCGCCAGGACCCAGGTGTCCAGGTGGCTCTACCTCTTACGGTGGCTACACGGTCTGCACCTGGATACGCTAGTTTTGGTACAGGGTACCCTAGCAAGCGACCTGGGGCAGGGGAAGAGCACCCATACTTCGGGAGGAGGGCATTTGGGGTTCTCGGGAGAGCCTGGCTCACCTGGATCAGCGCCCGGAAGTGCGGTGGCGACGACCGCGGCCTGGCACCACAGAGATGCGCGCCAGATAGAGCGCCCTACCACGAGCCTCACCGCCACCTGCCGGCGCCTGGTGGAAGTTCGGCAAGCAACTTCGGGCGGGCAAGTTGAACAGATTTAGCAATTTAGAACTCGGGACAAGGAACTGAGCTAGAAGAATTGAATGGAGGGCTGAGGGTGTCTCTCGGTGGTAGAGGGCTTACCTAACATTCAAAATGCTCTGGGATTCATTCCCAGCATGGGAGGGGGGAGAAGATTAAAACAAAAAGTTCAGGAGAACACACTGTCCATTCTTGGTTAGAACTAGTAGTGCAGTCTCTGCAGCCAAACTTGGCTGGACCCCAGCTCTGCCACTCGTGATTATTGGGTGTTATTATCTGTAAAATATGGGTATATACTTATTTTCCTTTTTTGCTTATTTGACTCCAACTGACAGACTTCAATATTCTTTTTTTTTTTTTAAGTGTAAACCAGGAGTTTATTTAGATAAAAGAATAAAGTGGGAGAATAGAGCCCCCAGTGTTGGGGATGGGGTGTCCCAAGAGAGGATGCCCTGGACTTCAATATTCTTGCTCTCAAAGCATGCAAATGAATCTTACCAAAGTGGATTAATAAAAAAAGCAAATAATCCAGTTTAAAAATGAGCAAAGGACTGGGCGGTTCTCTAAAAAAAGATATACAAATGGCCAATAAAACACCAGTAGTTTCTCAGTACCACTGGCCATCAGGAACATACTGGAGATAACCACTTCAAATCCACTGGTGTGGCTATAGTAAAAAACACATGGGCTAGGGGTATAGTTCAATGGTAGAGCACTTGCTTAGAATGTATTAGTTTCTCGGATTGATCCCCTCCACCAAAAAGGGAAAAAAACAAAAACAGGCAAGAATAAGTTGGCAAGGATGTGGAGAAACTGGAACCACCATACACTGCTGGTGTGATTGTAAGGTAGTGGAGCAGTTTCAGACAACAGACAGATAGTTCCTCAAAAGATTCAACAGTTTATCAGATGACCCAGCAATTTCACTCCTAGGTAAATACTCAAGAGAAATAAAAACATGTCTGAATAAAAAGTTACACGCAGACAGAAAACAACAACAAAAACTTAGAGGAATGTTCATGGTAGTATCATTATTCATAATCACCAAAAGGTAGAACCCAAATGTCTCCTATTGATGAATGGATAAACAAAATATGGTATACAATGAATGAAATACCATTTAAGTGAAGAAAATGTTCTAAAATTGTGGTGGCTGTACAACTCTGTCACAATTTACTAAAAATTTACTTTTTTAAGTTTACATTTACAGTGGGTAAATTGATGATGTGTGAATTATCTGAATAAAGCTACTAATAAAAAAAAATTTGTGATAGTACTGGCATTGAACTGAGGGCCTTTACACTTGCCAGGCAGGCGATACACCACTTAAGCAGCCCTCCTTTGGCTTCTTACCTGAGTGAAAGCTTGCTAAAGGACCTACATGTTTACACATTAGCACCTCCCTTCCTCCAACTCATCTGGCTGCCATTTCTTTGCTTTTTTGTACTGGAGTTTTTGAGCTCTAGACAGGTGTTCTACCACTTGAACCACACCCCTATCCCTGTTTGGCTTTGGTTATTTTTTGGGTAGGGTCTTGCATTGTTACTCAGGCTGGCCTCAGACCTCAATCTTTTTACCGATACCTCCCACGTAGCCTAGTTTGTCAAGTTGGGGGTCTCGCTGACTTTTTGCCCAGGCTGGCCTCCAACCAAGACCCTCCTTATCTCTGCCTCACAAGTAGCTGGGATTATAGGTACTTGCCACTATGCCCCACCAACTTCTTTTAACTGTTCCATCTACAGCATCTCCTTTTCTTTTAGAGTTTTAAGCTAGGCATGATCTGCCCCATGGCCTTTGCATTTGCAATCTGTCAGTTTTACTTCCAGATATCCAAAGGGTCTTTCCCCTCCTCCATAGTTAAACCCAAATACAGTATCAGTAAAGACTCCCAGAACCCCGTTTATTATAACTGTCAACTTCCTTGTCTTTCCTACATGAACCTATATTCTGTGAAAGCAAGGACCAATGGGAATTGGTTTTATAGGGATTTTTGTTATTTATTTTTTTTGGGTGGTGCTAGGGTTTGAATTCAGGGCTTCAGGCTTGCTAGGCAAACACTCTACTTGAGCCACTCTGCCAGCCCTTTTTGTGGTTTTGGTTTTTTTTTGGCTCTTCTGGGGTTTGAACTCACAGCCTCATACTTTTGCTAGGCAGGTGGTCTACCACTTGAGCCACCCTACCAGCCCTTTTTAGTGATGGATTTGTTCAAGATAGGGTCTTGCGAACTATTTGCCTGGGCTGGCTTGGAACCCCAATCCTCCTTATTTCTGCCTCCTGAACAACAAGGATTACAGACTTGTACCACCTGCACCTGCCTTGTGTTGGGTATTTTCAAGATAGGGTCTCAAGAACTATTTGCCCAGGCTGGCTTTGAACTGCAATCCTTCTGATCTCTGCCTTCCGAGTAGCTAGGATTAAAGGTGTGAGCCACCAGTGTCCAGCTGTGTTTTGTTTTTAAAACAGGGTCTTAAAAAAACAAAACAAAACAAAAGCCAGGGTCTTACTATGAAGCTCAGGCCTCAGTCTCCCAAGTGCTAGGATTATAAACATGAGTCATTATGCCTGGTTCTCTCAATTATTTTAGTAGTGTCTTAAACTGAAGTTGCCACATGGTAGACATCATTAAATGTTTTCAAATGAATGAATGAGAAATGCTCTCAGCAGCTTAAGAACTTTTAAATGCTCAGCAGTACCACCCTGCCAGGGCAGTTCTCTCTTTCCAATGTAAAATCCCCCCCCACCCCAAACACCTGTCTCAAACATAAAGCAACACTTAGCAGAAGGGGGACTACATCCCCAGCTGGCAGTTCAGTAGATATGTGGCTTGATCCTTCCACACTCACCAATTCTCTTGAAGACAAGAAGGGATGATTTCACATTACATGAAGTTCATTTCTTCCTCATGGAGGCATCAGTTCCCAAAACCTAACAGGACTGGAGGGTGGGAGAAGGCATCCAAGGAAAATGCAGGTGACTTTCCCAACTTCATTCCCCAATCAAAGAGGACAGTTTCTGGTTTGCCACTGGTGAGTTTATTACATGATTAGTAAGTTCAAATAAAAAAATAAAACCCAAAATCTTGGCAGGGAGGCTAAAGCCAGAATCTGGAAGTGCCGTTCCCTGTCTCCAGACTCCCTGGCCAAACCATCTCCATTAACTCAGCTTTACTCGATCCAGCTCCTCAAGACTTGCATCTGTGCTACCATCTCTGTTGTTCCTGCTGGTGACCGAGTTCTGGGCCCCTGGCACTGGGGCTTTGGTGAGAGCCCCATATACACCCATAGCCTGAGAAGAGGAATAAAGAGAGAGGCATGAGAACACCTGGAAGAAGTTATGGCCCAACCTTCCAATGATTACAAGGAAAAAGGTGTGGATGAGGCTAGTGAGCTTGGTTTTTCATTTTCTTTTGGTGGTACTGGGAATTGAACTCAGAGCCACTTGGGTTATACTCCGGATCCTTTTATTATTGATTGATTGATTTTTTTTTCCCCCTGCTGGTTCTAGGGCTTGAACTCAGGGTCTGTAACTTGAGCCACTCCACCAGCCCTTTTTTTGATGATGGATTTTTTTTTTTGAGATAGGGTTTCTCAAACTATTTGCCTGGGCTAGCTTCGAACCATGATCTCCTGATCTCTGCAGGTGTAAGCCACCAGCGCTCAGCCTCCTTTTATTTTTGGTTGTTTTTCATATGGGGTCTCTAGCTTTTGCCTGGGCTGGCCTTGGATGGCAATCCTACCTCTGCCTCTGGAGTAGCTGGGTGTGTCACCATACCCAACTCATTTTTCAGATAGAGTCCAGGCTGGTCTCAAACCTGGGTCCTCCTAACTTCATCTCCTGAGTAGCTGGGATTATAGAAATACACCAACATACCTGGCCCCTTGGGTTTTTCCTTCTCCCTCTCTCAAGCCTTTCTTACAAGCTTTAGGAATCTCAAACCATCACAGCAGGGTTACCCCAGAACACTGGCACATATATTTGCAGAAAGTAAGTTAACTCAAGAGCTGGGGCATGGCTCAAGTGGTAGAGTACTTATCTAGCATGCACAAGGCCCTAGGTTCAATCCACATTAACACACACACACACACACACACACACACAAATAATAATAATAATAATAAGCATTTTCTTATTTGCAGGAATGAGTGCAAGCATCTCATTCTTAGAGATTCCTACTGTATAGGGAATGAAGGAAACTCTAGAACTGAAGCACTCTGAAGACCTCTATGACAGGAAAGTGATGATGGTGGTAGTGCAATCTCAGCCCCTGACATTGGTGCTTTGCTGGGTTCTCACAGAGCTCTAACCTGAGCCACCATGCTGGTAACATCACCAGGATTGGAGGGTAGTAGAACAGTATTGGAGTCCTTGGCCAGTTTGGAGAATGCGCTGACATACTGCTCTGCCACAGTAAGTGAAGCTGCTGCATCTCCATTCTGTGACCACAGGGGGATAAAATCAGAGATCAAAGATTTGTGGGAGGGTGGACAAAGGTCAGGTCCCCAGGAAGACAATATACAAGTCACAATACGAGAGCTCATGTAATTTGGCTCAATGGAAGAACTCCCAAGGATGGATGAAACACCTTCTGTTATTAAGTCCTAACCCCCATTCCCACCCAGCGGCCTCTCACATGTTGTGTCAGAGCTGCAGCCAGGATGCGAATAGCTTCAGCTTTAGCCTTGGCCTTGGCCAGAACTGCACTGGCCTCTCCTGGAAGAAAAGAAACAGCTTGATTCATGAAGTCAGAGTATTCTAAAACTCCTGTCCTAGCACCAACCTCAAAGACACATGGTCCTCTCTCAGCCTCTACCCACTGCTCACCTGCTGCCTGATTTATTTGTTCAGCCTTTTCTGCTTCAGAGGCCAGGATCTGGGCCTGTTTCTTCCCCTCTGCTACATTGATGGCTGACTCACGGGTTCCTTCAGACTCTAGAACTGTGGCCCGTTTCCGCCGTTCTGCCTCCACCTGTAAGCCCCCAACAACCCCCATCAACAAGAAGCCAAGAGAAACTCTAACACAGACCTGCAACCATACTCATCACAACAGGGAAGGGAGTCCAGGTTCCCCTGGTAATACCCTGAGGTCCTCTTCCCCACCTGCATCTGCATGGACTCTTTCACCCGGGGTGGCACATGGATATCCTTTATCTCATAACGGAGGCAGCGGATGCCCCAGCAGTCAGCAGCCTGGTTAATGGCATCCACAATGTTGGCATTCAGGGACTCCCGCTCCTAGAGGAAGAGAGGTGTAAGCTCCAGAGCCTCAGCCTACCCATCAACGGCTTAAATCAAGAAAGTCCCAAAGGCGCTCATTGGTGGCTCACGCCTATAATCCTAGCTACTCAGCAGGTGAGAGATTAGGAAGATCGTGGTTCGAAGTCAGCCCCAGCAAATAGCTCGAGACCCTATCTTGAAAAAAAAAAAAAAGGCTGGGGTCGTAGCTCAAGATGTAGGCCCTGAGTTCAAACTCCAGTACCACACAAAAAAAAAAAGGTCCTGAGACTTGATCTGGATACACAGAAAAGACTGACAGTAGAAGGCCTCAAACACTAACTGAGGACCAGATTTGCTTACCCGGAAGACTTTGTCCAGAGAGAGTTTGCCGAGCTCTGATCTCATGGTTGTCTGAGCTAGCTGGGTAACAGCATATTCAGGGTCCTCCACACCGTAACTTGCCTGAAAGGAGTATGGATAGTGTAAGAAGTTTGAGTGCAGAATTTCCGGTGAGAAGAGCAGCTCAGAAGGCTTGGGTGAGTCAGGTGCCAGTGGCTCATGCCTGTAATCTTAGCTACTTGGGAAGCTGAGATGAGGAGGATCACAGTTTGAGGTAAACCAGGACGAATTGTTCGTGAGACCCCATCTCCAAAATAACCAGAGCAAAATGGAGGTGTGGCTCACGCAGCAGAGTGCCGAAAGCCCTGAGTTCAAACTCCAGTCCCACAAAAAAAAAAAAAAAAAAAGGAAAAAAAAAGGCTGGATAAAGCAGGGGGAAATACCTTGTAAGGGTCCATAATGCGTAGGTAAAGGACTCCATCTATTTGCAGAGTTACATTGTCTGTGGGAACAGAGGAGAAAAGGAGGTCAGGCCTCCAGGGCCCAACCAACTCTTTCTCCTAAACTCTAGATATACAGCAACTACATCCTAGTGGTCTCAAAGCACCCGTGTCACCCTGAACCCCTCACCAAGAGTCACAGCCGACTGCTCAGGCACGTTGATGACAATTTCCTTGAGACTCTGCACGTATCGGATCCGGTCTAACACAGGGATGAGGACGTTCAAACCCTGAGAAGAGGAGTCATAGGTCCTCAGAAGGATGGGAGTGAGGAAGTTGGATTATAAACTAGGTCTGAAGTAGGTAGGAAGTCATATATGGAACATGCCTAGAAAAGTAACCCCTACCAAGATGTGTTCTCAGAAGGCTGGTGTGTCACTGGCAGAGAAACCTGAGAGCGTAGAAGTGAAAGACTAAATGTCTAAATGGGGGTCAAGGGAATGGGGGTCAGCAGAATAACCAACTCTAGGGAAACAGGTGCGGCCGAGAGGGTGGGTAGTGCCAAGAGCGGTTTGGCTTGTAGAATGCTAAGGAAACAGGAAAAGGTAATCACATGGGGATGATGTGGAGTCCAGGGTCAGAAGGCTGGACCCTGCTAGAACCGGACCCGAGAGTCAGGAGCCAAAGGTGCAGTCAGGCCCCAAGGCGGTCCCACTCCCACATGTAAAAGATCGGGGTATATGGGTGGCTGGAAGTGGGCAAAAAAGATTCTCACAGGCTCCAGGATCCGATGGAATCGGCCCATTCGCTCCACCACCCAGGCCTCCTGCTGCGGCACAAACAGTACCACAGTGTTTCGAGGTAATCCAGATGAAGCGCGGCGCGGAGCGCGTCCAGGCGCCTGCACAGAGCCCTGAAGGGAAGACAAGAGGAGGCTGGGACTCCAGTCCGCCCAGCACCCCGCCCCTCTATCCCGCAAGCGTCTCCCTAAACTGCGACCCTCAAGGGTCCTCGGAGAATGACTCACGTGGGGACCATGACCTCTGACCCCAGTCCTCTCCCAAAATTGGAAGCCAGCTCCTTCCCAGCTGAGGACCCAGGTGATCTCTGTCCCGACCCTCTGGAGAAGGTTGCCTCGCTCTCACCCTCAGCAAAAGGGCTCCAGTGCCCCGCGCCGCGCGCGCCAGCATTTCCCACAGCCGCCACAACCTCCGGAACCAACGAGACGTGGAGCAGAGCGGCGGCTCAGAAGGCCGGACCCGAGCCTTTCCGTCCGCTGTTCCGCTCCCCCGGATGTACTTCCGCTGTCCCGTTCCCCATTCCACACTCGCCCAATAGGCGTTACTTGGCAGAGTTCGCATTAAGTTGTTCCCTGGGAAACGCAGACTCTGAGACGAGGGTCCGTGACTGCAAGCTTCTAGTTCTCGCTGTTCTAGCCCAAGATCCCGAACATCGTGGCGAAAATGGAGGTTATTTTCCGTATGCAGGTGACCCAGAAACACGTCCCATCGAGTTCTTTACTCCCAACCCAACCAGTGACTCAATTTACCCTCCAGAGCGTATAATCACCCCCATCTGTCACCATAGCGACCAGTGGATTGGAGCTGACTTGTTGCCACGGTTGTCATAGTGACAGTCTCTGGTAGTCCTGCTGTTGTGCCCAACCCTCCCACTGGGGACTGACCCCATTCCCGTTGCCATGGTAACTGGACCTAACTTTGCCAGAGGATTAGGCCAAGATCTTCCCCTCCCCTCTCTTCCCAAGACACCAACAGCTCTTTCCACATCTTCACAGACGGACTATTATGCCTGGTCCCTTCGCACACAGAGGCTAGCAAACAACCTTAACCTTCAACTTTGGAGCATGTAACTTGCACATCTCTGATGGCTGACACATCCTTTAAGAGGCCTGTGTAATCATAATCCTCATCTTATATAGTGCACTGAAATTCTGAGGAGTTAAAATCATTAACAGAACCAGTAAAATAATCTAACTTTATGGCTGGTGGAGTGGCTCAAGTGGTAGAACATCTGCCTAGCAAGCAAGAGGTCCTGAGTTCAAACACCAGTACTGGCCCCAAAAAGCAACTTTAAGCCCTGCACCAATGGCTCACACTTGTAATCTTAGCTACTTGGTAGGCAGAGATCAGGAAGATCATGGTTCGAAGCCAGCTAGGGCAAATAGTTCTTGAGACCCATGGCTCGAATGGTAGAACAGCTGCTTAGCAAGTGTGAGGCTTTGAGTTCAAGCCTCATTACTGTCCCACCAAAAAAAAAAGTAGAGCTTAGTTCAAGTTCAAGTTTCCAACCAAGAATTTATTTTTTTCTAAAAAAAATGTACCAAGTACAATTTTTCCTGTTTTTGCTTTATTTTTTCAAGTTTCAGCAAATGCTTATTCCCCTCAGCCAAGTCCCAAAATTTAAGGGCTGAGGCTAGGTCAGAGTCTGGAGTGGAAAATGGGATAGTTGGGAACCATATGACTGAGTTTGAGGGGTGCCCCTCACCCCAGCTGAGGTAGGTGGGTCAGAGTCTGGTCAGGTGAGAGGAGGCAACCCAGTCCTTAGCCCTGACTCTGCCCCTGGACACCTTCCTCAGTCAGGACTCCAAAGCAAGGAGACACAGGTAGGAGGATAGGGAAAACTGATTCTGAAGCCCTAGGTGAGGGGTGATTAGCCTCTGTGTGTGTGCATGCACGCACACTCTCTTTCTCATACACATACCTCATAATGTGAGCTTGTGCACACACGCAGGGACATAGACACACACACACACACACAAATTGGCTTTCAAAAATGAATCAGAGGGTAGGGGGAGTGAAAGGAATAGGGAAGGGCACAGGAGGCTGAGTCCTTGGCTTGTGACTCAATCACTCTGAAATAAACCCTCTGCCCTCAGCTGAGGGAGAGCAGTTCCTCTTCTGCTCCCCACATCAGCCTCTTCAACTCCTGAGGTTGGAGCAATATCCGAGAGTGGGAAAGGAGGAGGAGTGATGCCAATTATCAGGTTTGGGAGGTTACCAAGGCAATCCAATTTGAATAAATTATAAATTAAAAATAAATAAAATAATAAGTGGCCCCTGCCCAGGACAGGGGGTTAACGCTGGCATGACTTGCCTGGGAACTTGGGACAATCTCAGGGTAGCTCTGGTTCCTTCCTATTACCTAAGCTGGCCTGAGAAACCCAAGTGAGGGGACAGGCACGTGGAGTACCCAGAGTGGGACAGGTTGTGGAAGGATCAGAAGCTTTAACACCCAAATACTCAATTTGGGTATGAGTGTGGCGAGGACTTTAATTCAAGCCTGAAGGAGCTCTCGCCATCTTTCCACGTGTTTACCCTGTCCAAGATAGAGCAGGATGGGTGGGCTTTTGGCCCACCTACGTTCAGAATGCTGGCAATCAGGGCAAAGGTGAATAACGTGGATTATGGGGAGCCTCAGTCACAGCCTGCAGCTCATAGGGGAGCCCTGTGTCCAGTTCCAGGCTCCGGCGGGAAAAAAGCAGGCGGATGTCTCCATGTAGGCTTAAGCGGCCTGAGCGGGAACTCCGGAACCTGGGGGAAAAGACAGTGTGATCCAATTAGGAATCCTGACAGTACAGAAGCAAGGAGAGATCCTATTCAGGGATGGGATACCTGGGCCTCCCAAGCTCTCCCTAGGTCCTGTCCTCACCTGAGGTGCAGCAAGTAGCAGAGGAGGCGGTGGGTGGGGCTAGCATTTCCCTCCTCACCCACAGGCACCAAAAAGAGGCGATGGCGCAAGAAGGTCATGTGGGCAGCAGGCATGTCCGAGAAGTCAAAGGTCACGAGGAACATCTTCACCACAGTCTGATTGGGGTTAAATAAGGTCTGGGGGCAGAAGAGTCAAAGTTGGTAGGGCCTGGGGACTGTTTTCCTCTTCTCCCATACCCACTCTTTCAGGGCCAACTCACCACTTGGATGGTGCCCATCTTGGGCACGCTGTAACCCTTCCTCCCCAAGGGGTTCAGGTCCACGACACCCTGGGAAGACCATAGACATTAGTTGGATGGAGACTAGAAAAGCTCTCAATACTGACCTGTCTATAGTCTCATGCCTTGGACTTGTCCCTGCCCCATTCTAGAATTTTCCCTACCTGATCCTGACTCACTCCTAGTTGAGGAACATGTAAGGAATAGCTTTTTCTCCTCCCTCTGCCCCAACCTCTCTGAGGAGCTAACTTTGGGTTGAGGTCAGGTCATACCAGGAAAGGGGCCGGGGCATTTTGCTCAGAAACATCAAAGAAGGTGACAGTGACAGGCAGCGTGACATGCTGGGGGCAGTAAGACCCACTAGCTCCAATCTCTGCTGTGAAGCCCTCAATGTGGCCAGATGGTGCAAAGCGTCCTCGTAGCAATGATTCCTGGTGTTAGGATGAGGAAAACATATTATGAGAGATACAAATTCTTTGCCTTATCCATCCAAGCCACATTCCACCATCCAACTCCTCCCAGGTAACCCTAATCACAAAGCACAAGAGGAGTTACCTCAAAGTTGCCCAGCAGGGTACGGCTGACAGCAGGGGTAGGAACAGGGGAGGCACTGGGGGGGCTCAGCAGGCCTGGCCCCTTCTGGACACTTCGAAGGGAACTCCTGGTAGGGGAGGGGACACACAGTGGGTGGTTTGAGGTATTCCGGGATACCTGTAATGTCCCTTTGCCACTATCTGGGGCCCCTGCCCTGGGATTCTATACTGTAGCGTTGATGATTATAGACTTTTGCTCTCACTTTCAGGGTCATAGTAGAGGGGGAGTCTTCACTTACAGCTTCAGGCGACGGGCACCTTTCAGCCTCCGCCCCATGGGGTTGCAATCTGTTGGGTCCTATAGAGAGAAAAGATTGGGAAAAGAGACTGGGTGAAACCCAGCTGTATTTTGGGCCAGGGGCTCATTACAAGCCCTCAAAGGATCATCCCTGTAGGCTTCCATTTTCATCCACATAAATGTTCACTTAAGAGTAGGTGGAAAAGGGAGGGGGTGGGGGCAGGGGGGAGAAATAAACCAAGCCTTGTATGCACATATGAATAATAAAAGAAAAATGAAAAAAAAAAAAAGAAAATTCACTTTTCAAATAAGCAAAAAAAAAAAAAAAAAAAAAAGAGTAGGTGGAAAAAAAAAAGGTAGATGAGTGATCATTCTCATTCTCTCTCTAAAAATGGCCCACTTTCACACTTTCAGTCTACTGAAAGTATATTCCTTTCCTAATATACTATTACTTTCATTACAAAAAAAAAGACTAGATGAGCTACTCTACTGGCTTACCAATACAGGCTCCTTGGGCCTGGGCAGCAGGTGGCTCCAGAAGGGTGTGGCTTTGGCATCAGAACTGTTGGCAGCAAGAGGGTGGCCCAGGGTCCCCCGGCGCTTCCGGGGGACTGGCCCCTCATCCTCAGAGCTGACATCTGGGGCTTCTCCAGCAGGAAGCAGCCTTCGCTTGGTGGGACAGGGGCCTGGAGGTCCAGGGCCAGGGGGTGTGTGCTCGGGACTGTGCCCATTGGCAGTGCTGGGGGACTCCCTATGCCAGGGGTTGCCCCCATTGCCCACCCCAGCTACTGGGTTCTTACCCCCTATTTGTGCAAGACTGTGCAAATCAGTGTCAAGTGTGTGCAGTTGGCCTGAAGGGGCTGGCCCTGGAGATTCCTCTAGGAACCCCTGTCCCCCTAAATCAGGGGAAGCCCAGTCTCTGGTGTGCAAAGTATTGCAGGAAGCATTTGATGGGGACCAGGTGGGACTCTGTGCCCCTGAAGTCCAAGGTGAAGTGGCATTACCTCCCTGTTCCACAACACAGAGGCCACGATGGGAGAAATGCTGGCTGGCCACGCCCAGTCCCAGCCCCAGTCCCTCTGGGCCCAATAGCCCCGCAGTAGATGATTCTTCAGGGGGTAGTCCCTCTCTGGCCCCCAGCCCAGGGCCTCTCTTCAGCTCTCGGGGAACCTCAGTGGGTGGGGCCGGCCGCTTCAGAGCCCTATGAGGTTCGGAGGCACCAACCGGAGGGGAAAAGATGGATACCTGGTAGACCCCAGGGGATGTTGCCCCCCCTGCTGGGCTATAGCCCATGAGCAAGCCACTCTGGAGGGCCCCCTGTCTGACTGGAGGCTGTGAAGGGCCAGCCTCTGGTTCTGAGGATGGAGACGGCTCCGCCTGCACGTGGCGCATGAAGCCCCCCCTTGGGTTAGGGGGGCCCCCCCACACGGCCTTTATATTGGGCCTGGGCTGGGGGGCCTGGGGACATCTGTGAAGAGAAGAGAAGGTGGTCAGGGGTATCAATGAGTATTCTTCCTTCCAGCTGAGTTTTAGATCCTCCCCTAGCCTGAAGAAGTGACCTAGACAGGTTCTTGGGAGTGAAGGTTTCCAAATCCCTGATGGATTAATGGAACATAGAGGCTATTCTCAGAACTCCTGAGAGCATGACATATTTAGCTCAGGCTTCTTACTGGCCCTGCTACCCCCTTCCTCTTCCTGGCACTTACCCCGATGAAAAGGCCTCAAGCCTAGCCGTGTGTCTCCTTTTCCTGACTGATGCCTTGATCCCCTAACTTGCAGTCTGGTCCATGCCTGCTGCACTGGCAAGGTGACTGCCACCATTCCGTGCAGCTCCTCGGCTTAGCTGGACCCTGAGGAGAGAATAGACATAAGCCAGGATCCCTGGAGCCAGGTAAGGTCTCTCTGACTGTGGGCTAATAAGTATTCCAGGACATCCTCCTCCCATGTCATGTGTGTTCAGAAACAGAAGGGGCAAGCTGAGGATCCAGGGAGTAGGTGATAGAGTTGGGCAACCTGAGGAATCACAGAGAGGCAATTCTGTTGGCTCAATGTAATAAGGATGTGAGAAGTGACTTGTCAGGGCTACTATCTTGAGGACATGCCCTGAAAAAGGGGGAATGAGACACTCAAGATCCAAGAGACCATGCCAACAAGCAGGTTGCTAGGGCAATAATTCAGCTCTCTTACTCGAGGTCACTGAGTTGCACAACTTCTTTCAATATATCTATCTCCAAAGGGATAAGTGCCATCCCAGAATGCTAAGGGCAGAGGTCTGGCAAACAGTCACACCCCATCACATACTCCTCAGAGGTACAAACCTCAGGTCAGCTCAAAGACAGCCCTTTAACCTTGAACACCCAATTGCCCCCAGCAATCTGTCTAATGAGACAACAAATCCAACCAAAAACAAGTAGTGGGAGGGGGAGGGGACACTGCCAGAAGGCACTTTCCAGAACCCACCCCTCTCCCCAGGCTCTGCAAACTGGAGATAAGGCAGCAGCAGGCAGTCAACTGGAAGCAACTAGACTATCACTTCATGTCCCTCCCCCAGTTTACGAACAACACTCACAAAACCCAAACCACTGCTTTTTTTTTGGCCAGGGCACAAAATGAACTTCATGTTCTGTGCCCCTCAGAACCAATACTAGCATGAGGAGATTGTCAAATTGAAGATCAGTTGCCCCCAGGGTCTGCCTTCTCCTTTGGGCAGTAACCTGTGCTGCCTGCCATCCATAATGCCCTTCAGATGGGCAAGGTGATACACACTTGAAGATAGTGAGTTGGAAGCTACACTGGGAAACAAACAAACAAAACCCAGTGTCCTTTCCCCTTCAGGTAATGCCCTTTGTATGCCTACCAAGTCCTACTCTTTTTCCTTGCTAGCCTAAAGCCCATCCCCTCTAGAAAGTCTGCTCTTCACCCCAGACCAAAACATCTCTCCCCTCCTCTGAGACCTCACGTATTGGCAGTGTCACTACCTCCTGTAACCCAGTAGCAGTTCTGTTCACTCCTCACCACAGATTCCTGAGGACAGGTTTGTGCAACTCCTCTGTCCAACTCCAAGCATAGGAGAAAGGACACAGCAGGACTCAAAAAAAAGTAAAATGAGACCAGGTGAGGATGGCTCATGCATGTAATCCTAGCTAGTCAGGAGGCAGAGATGAGGAGGATTTCGATTAGAGGCCAGCCCAGACAAATAGTTTGAGAGACCCTATCTCAAAAATACCCAACACAAAAAGGGCTGGTGGAGTAGCTCAAGTGGTAGAGTACCTGCCTAGCAGCATGAGACCCTGAGTTCAAACCCCAGTACCATCAAAAAAAGTAAAATGAAAGCCCTAGAGATTTGGGCAGCAGTCCTGAGGGGCCACATAAAAACTCCTGGATGATAGAGGGATGTTGGTGGCTCACACCTGTAATACTAGCTACTTGGAAGGCTGAGATCAGGAGGATTTCAGTTTGAAGTCAATGCAGGCAAATAGTTCAAAATAACTACAACCAAAAGGATTGGAGGTGTGGCTCAAGCAGTAGAGTGCCTGCTTTGCAAGCACCAAACCCTGAGTTCAAATCCTTGTCTCCCCCCCAAAAAAAAACCTTCTCAGATGAAAGAAGCAGAGAGACTAATTGTACAGGGAGAATGATCAAGAATATGTGGGGGTGGAAGGCACAGAGAAAGGGGACTGCAAAGCTCTCCTGCACCAATTACTCCCACACTACACACTCCCAGGTTCATGAAGTGCTCATTAGAATTGAAATTCTCTAAAAATTCTGGTCCCTTGCAGTGAGTGGGGTGGGCTGGAAAGGGAACACCAATGACAATGTTGTCAGAGGGTACAACCAGTACTCTCTCTGCTCCTCCTTTCCTCCACCTAAGCCATGCAGGTTCAGGAAGGGACTTTTCTTTGCACCACCATTTCCAGGTCATCCCAGTTGCCCTCTTGAGCCCGTCCTGGGGAATCCAGGTGATGACATGATGCCCTCCTTGACCCCGGCATGCCTGGCATCTGCTCATTACCCCAGAGTCCTCAGTTCCTGCCCTGTCAATAAGAGGCTCTAAGAAACACTCCTCTGCCACCCAGCCAGTCTGGCTTTAGACCGTGGCTTCAAGCTGACTCACGGGGCAGGACTGTGGGGGTGGGGGTGGCAGGGCAGGATAGGCCAACCTCACCCTCTGTGCAGGGGGTGGGCAGCTGGCATCAAACAGCTGTGCCAGGCTGTGGCTGGCAAGGACTACAGTTCCCAACATGCTAAGGGAGCAAGGCCAGCAAAAACAACAAGTCCCAGAATACCATGGAGTCTACCCTCAGCTACTCTAGGCCTGGTAGGTGGGAGAAGTGGGTGTTTGTATAGGTAGAGGTCCCAGACTCATTCTTCCCTACCCCTCAGTATTAAAGATACCGATTTCTACCACGACCAAAGAGGGTTAAAGGAAGGAAAATTCCTATCCATGTGCTTTCCACCCTCATCTTGTGCAGACAGTACTGCTAGATGCTCTACATTTTGTCCCCATACATGTCCACACATGCTAGGATGGCTGTTTCCACAGACCACCACTGTGGGTAATGTCAGCCTCTGCTCTCCGTCAACTCTTTTGAAGGCGCATATCCTAGAGCCCTTCGCCCTCAATGAAGAGGAAGCAGACTTCAGGAACTACTCCAAAATAAGCCCGGTAGACTCACCTTGGCTCCTGGACTCCTTGTTCTGGACGATCCCCCACCCCCTGCTTAGCCTCCCAGGTTCTTTCTCACTCCTTTCTTCTTCACAGCTTGGGACAGGCCCCATACCCTACCGGGGCTTCGGAGATCTGCTCTTTCCCCCTAGTACACACTCACCCCGCTCCCAAATTGGCTCCGCTGCGGTGGCCGCTGCTCCGGGCCTTTCCGTCCCTTCCCGGTCCCTCCCCTCGGATCCCTGATCCTTCCTGTCACGGGCCCCCAACCCAGACAAAGGGTGGCTCAGGCTGAGAGCCCTGCTCTGCTAGGTTCTTCTCTGTTCAGAAGTGCAACACTAGCGGGCCCTGGCGCCTGCAGCCCCCCAGCCTTTGCTGCGCCCCTCCCCGCGACGGTCCCTCCCCGGGGCCGCCCAGGCTCGGTGCCGCAGACTCCGCTGCCCCTCTGACTCACAGGCCATTTCCTACCAGCTGATGGGGCCGCCCGCCCCGCCCAACGCCCCACCACCCCCGCAGCGGCAACCACGACCGCCACGCCCCCCTAAGACCACACCCTCCCTGGGCAATAACCATGCTCATTGGCTTAGAGGAGGCCAGCCTCTCCGTGACCACAAGTGTGAGCCACGCCCCCTCCAAAAGGAGCACTTCTACTGGTCCATAAGGGGGCAGGCCTACCCAATATCGCTCCTCCCATCTCCTTAACCCCTCATCTGCCAGTCCAAAGCAACTCTCTGCCTTGCCATTTAACCCCTTCAAAGGCGTTAAGCCTCCCACTTCTCAACCTCCCTCCGCCACCTTTCCTGTTCCAAGGCAGGTCACTAGGAAGCCCCAGGGCTTTCACAGACAGGAAGTCGGACTGCTCTTTTTATACTAGACCCAACCCCAACTATCCCCATGCCTATTCATCTCCTCCCTACATTCCAAGCCAGAGCTCCTAGCTAGAGGGCTGTTGGAACCTAGGAGGCTTCCTTCATGTGGGAGCAGAAGATAAAGATCTAAAGTGGTACCCTATCTTCGTTCATACTGAGAAATGGTATCCGTCTTTTTCTTACAGCTAACTGATGTTCTTTTGTCTTTGTTAGAAGGATCCCAAGGCTCCTGAGATAGAGATTCATTTTAATTTCAGGGACTCAGGCATTATTCTTTGTAGCTCTGACCCCCTATTCTGAGACCAGGCTACCCTATCCCTTGTGATATAACTCTTTTTACTCACAGGCCTCTATTCAAGGAATACTAAGGAAGTGGGATAGGAGGGCTTCTGCCTACAGTGGGGGCAGAGATGGAACTCAACCTCATGACTCACATCTCCCTTGAAACTCTCCGCCCTCCTCCTGAGTCACTGGGCCCAGGCCCATCCCAGATCCAGCCAAACAAGTGACAGCAGAATCAGCATCCCCAACTTTTGTCACCTTATTCTTTGAATGACCAAGATAGAAGTCTCTGCAATGATTGGGCATGCATAGACACTTTTCTTTCTTTCCTTTTCAAAGACACTTTTTAGAGCAGATGCTCTAGAGACAACCTAAGAAAATGGACAGATAGCTACAACTACTGTCCTCTGAACTTGTCAGCAAGTCAGACAGGTTGTTGGCAAGTCAGAAGGTCAGACTTTTTCTCTCCATCATTCACAGAAGCAGGAGACAAACATCAGAAGCAAAAGAAGTAAAGACCATTTTTCCATAGTTGAGAGGTCATATCAGTCCAGGTTTCAGCCTTGCTTACATTGCCAGCCCCCCAGGGCTGTCACTCAAAAAAAGAAGCTCCCCTCCCCCTACTTCCTCTTTGTGCCCTACAGTTAGGAGAGACAAGCAAGTAATAGTTCTAGGCTTCCTTCTCCTTACCTCAGATGATGGGTGGTGAGAACTCTGAAAAAGAACCCAGTTGTTTTGGACAGATTTCTTTGCTGATTCCCTAATGCTAAGGAAATTCTCAACACCCTAAACAAAATTGCAGAGTATCAATATAAGAACCTATTTGCCTTGGTAAAGCTTATTAGGAAGATAGGTAGAGACACAGAAAACTATAGGAAAAGAATAATTTAGCAATCCCACCTTGTTTTATTGTATTGCCATTACCATAGACCCAGGCCTTAGTTTTTTACAAAGGTCAGGAGGCAATAGTAAAGGTGGAAGCATCAAAGATGGTCCAAACCTCAGTGTGGCTTCAGTGTGCTCTGGAAAAGATGCATGGTACAATCAAGAGGTCTTTATTTATTTGAGACAGGGTCTCACCACATAGCACAGGCTGGCCTCAAACTTTGCTCCTCCTGCTGGGATTACAGGTATGCACCACCAGGCCCAACCCTTACTACCTGCCCCGAATTCTTATCTTGCCTCTTTTTTTGGATTTTTTTTTTTTTTTGAAAGAGTCTCACTATGTAGCCCAGGCTAGTCTCTTCCTCAGTTTCTTGAGCACTGGAATTACACACGTTCCAGTATGTCCAACTACCTTTATTTATTTATTTAAGGCACTGGAGTTTGAACTCAGGGCTTCCCACTTGCAAGCAGGTGCTCTAGTGCTTGAACCACACCTCCAGTCCTTTATGCTCTCCTTGTTTTAAAGATAAGGTCTTTCTTTTTGCCCAGACCAGCCTAGACTATGATCCTTCTGATGACCAGCTTTTTTCTGTGGAAATGAGGTCTCAAACTTTTCTCCCCAAAGCCGGAATGCTAGTGGCTCAACCTGTAATCCCAGCTACCTGGAAGGCTGAGATTGGAAGTATCACAGTTCAAGGTCAGCCTGGATAAATAGTTCGTGAGACCCCCAACTCCAAAATAACCAGAGAAAAACAGGCTGGAGGTGTGGCTCAAGGTGTCAAGTGCCTGCTTTGCAAACATCAAGCTCTGAATTCAAATCCTAATCCCAGCAAAAAAAACCAAAAACTGAAATCTTTTTTCCCCCAGGCTGGCCTGAAACCTTGAACCTCCAGATCTCAGCCTCCCAAGTATTACAGGCATGAACCACAGGCACCTTTTTTTTTTTTTTTTCTTGGAGACTAGGGATGGAACTCAGGGCGTCATACTTGCCAGGCATGTACTTTATCACTTAAGCCACTCCACCAGCCCTTTTTTGTGATGGGTTTTTTTTCAAGATAGGGCCTCTTAAACTGTTTGCCCAGGCTGGCTTCAAACCATGATCCTCCTGATCTCTGCCTCCTAGTTAGGATTACAGGTATGATCCACAGGTGCCTGACTGCTATTTTTTGTTTGTTTGTTTGTTTTTTTAATATATAATAGTTATCATCAGCTGACTCACTGGCCCTGCCTTCTCACAAACTTGCATACAGTATCAGTATCTTTCTTTTCTTATTAGAATGGAAGCTCCATGAGAGTGCAACTTGGTTTTACTCAGAGCCTGGCATATGATAGGCACTCAACAAACTTTGGTGATGAAAACAATGGGTCCTGTGGTTGTCCTGTGGTTGTGAAGGGCAATCCAGAGATCTGGATCTTCGCGCCTGCTATTTCATCATGAGACCTGGGAAATCAGTTTCTTTGACCACAAGTTTCCAAATCTGTAAAATGAGAGGCTCTTTATAAACCATGACCACTGAGGGCCCTATGACTCTGGTCTTTAATTCTAATGGCTGGTGTGAATTCATATCCAATTTCAGAGGATGGACTCAAGCATCCAAATGTCCTTCTGCCTAAACCAAAGCAGAAAGACTTCACACAGCAAATGGATGCCCTTTCTCTCATGCCCCACCCACTCACACAAAATGCCCCAGTCCTGAGGTAGCTAGAGTGAGTCTGCCCTAGGCCCGCCCTCTCTGAGAGACAGGCTGGGAAGCAGTGTTGCCATAGCAATCAGCTCCTCCTCAAAAGGCTTCAGCCTGCCCTCCTTTACCCCACCCTACCCCAGGGCTTTGTCTGGCCACAGCACCCCCTTCTCTCCCCAGCCAGTCTCTAAGCTACTGGGTGGCTATGTGAGGCTTGGGGCCCCTTTCGGCAACACTGTGACACTCATTCAGTCACGGTGTGGAAAGCAGGCCTTTCCCACCCTCTCCCAGCCAGCCCAGAGGCAAAGAAAAAAAAACTCTGGCACTACATCAAGTCCCTTCAAGGAGCCACAGGAGCCCCCAACGGGACTAGGTCCTCTCTCATCAGAACTACCTGAGATTGAACTTCACATCCCTGCTCAGGTTCTGCTTAAAATAGCAGCCCACCTCTCCAAACATGCATAAAAGACCCTCAATACTTTTTACCACTACTCCCCATCCAGAGAACCCCACAAATTTATAAGGGCCCTAGCACTCCCCACCCAGGGAAGGGATAAGGGTGGAGAAAATAAGTAGTAAAACGTGGCAACTAGTCACTTGAAAGTCTGTTGGCAGAGAACTGGTGGTAGTAGGGCGGTGGGATCTGAGCACTGCGGCTGGTTACCAGGGTCTCTGACCAATGAGTACAAAGTCCAAGGCAGGGCATAGATCCTAGACAGACAAGAACCAGGCCAGGCCCCAGGGTGAGGAAGGAAGTGGGAAATGAGCACACCCAGAGCATAAGGGCAGGGCAAAGTGGGGGAGGTGAGACAGAGACCAAGGCAGACTTCTGGGAGGAACAGGAACTAGGTTGGGGGGTTGACAGGAACCCAATGTCAAGGGTTTCCCAGGGAAACCAGTTAGGGGGAGAAACCCCCATTTCAGCCAGACAGATCCAAAGTAGACTAAGGAAATATACAAATAAGCCCTGGTGCAAGCAGGGCCTGATTGCTGAGTACCTAGGCTGGAAGGTAAGCTGAGCAGTCAGGAGCACTACACTCCTGGCTTCACCCCAGTAATTCCAGTACCTCACTCCTAGAACACAGAGCACAAATGTTTTCCTGGAATCTCTACATAATGCCCTAGACAGTTAGTCAAAGTAATGGAGGTTACCCCTCAACTGGTGCCTGCAATCCCTGCCGTTCACACAATGACTACCGCCCACTCCCTCTTCCTCTACACAGCCCCTCTAACCCTTTCCACACACTAGATCATCAGCCCTTCTTCACAAGGTCCCCCTTTCTCCGAAGTGCCTCCAAATCCCCTCCCCCTCAAACCCTCCACATCAGACAGCGACCCCGCCCCCTAGCATGGTACCTCCCATATCCACAAAGCGCTCCCGCCCTTCCCCCACAAGGGCTCCCAGAGAATGCACCTCCTTGCATTGAGCTCCTAACTGCCCCCGCAACTCCTATCCCCCCTTCCACAGCAGAGTACAGATTCTCTTCTTCCCTAACGGCGCTTCCCACCTCCCCATGCCTGTCCAAGCGCACCCTTGTCCTTGTTCCTTCTTCCACGCGCACCCCGCCCCACACCTGCAGTTCCGTGGGTCCCGTTGCACTTGAGGAGGTAGTGGATTGGGGCAGTGACTGAGCAGCCCTAGCTGCAGCCTGGGCCTGAAAACCTCTCCCCTTTAGTATGAGCCCCGCCCCCGCAACGCCCCGGCCCACCCTCTCCCTTGTCCCAGTCCACCTTCCCCAGGCT